TATGTTTCTTAAAGAAATTGGCCTGTAGCTTTCTTTTCTTTTCTTTTTTTTTTTGTACCGGGGATTGAACTCACAATCTCACATTTGCCAGGCAGGCACTTACACCGCTGAGCTAAATCCCTGGCCCTGTAATACTCATTTTCAGTTGAGTACTTTCCAGTTATTTTGTTTTGTTTTGTACCAGGAATTGAACTGGAGACCTCACACTTGCCAGGCAGGTGCTGTGCCGCTGAGCTATGTTACATCCCTAGGTCTTCAGTTGAGTTTTTATCTGGTTTCAGGAATGAATTTGATATTACTTGCCTTTAAATTTCATTAAAAAGTTTGAGCAGAATTAGTGTTACATCTTCCCTGAAGTTCTTGTAGAATTCATTGGTGAATCCATCCAGTCTTGTGCTTTTCTTAGTTGGTAGGTTTTTAATTACTGCCTCCATTTTCTTTCTTGTTACTGGACTGTTCAGTTTTGGTAATTTGTATATGTCTAAGAATCTATCCATTTCTTGTAGAGTCTCCAGTTTATTGGAGTATGGGTTTTCATAGTAATTATTAGTAATCTTCTGAATTTGGCAGGGTTTGTTGTGATTTTGCCTTTTAAACTTCTAATTGCATTAATATGGCTCGCTCTTCCCTTCTTTCGTTAAGTTTGGCTAAGGACTATAGGAAGATCTGGCCTGTATGAGGGACAACAACACAAGGATGAAATTAAAGGCAGAAACAACCTTAGTAATGCATGACAGGTGGGCTGAGATAGTCAGTGCCTCGGGATGGGCAGAGACAAAGACACTTGAGCTAGCCACTATTTATTGGGTACACAAAATAATCGAGTATTGGATGATTCAGAGGGTAATAGTGATCTTATACTGATAAAGATCTTATGTTGGTGAAGATTGTAGAATGAGAAAAGTTTATAAGAAGTTTGTCCTTTCTTCCAGATGAAACCTTTTTTCTTATTACTCTACAGTTCTCAGGGAACCAGGATGTCTTCAGCTGATGTCATCTTGCCCTGGGGTATCACAGTATCATGGGACTTTTGAGGCCTCTGTGTGACTGGAGACACAGAGTTGTTTGCACATACCACAATTTAATTATGATATGGTTTTCCCCTGAAAATTATATGATCCTTGACAAAGACTTGTCAATTTTGTTTATGCTTTCAAAGAACCAGCTCTTTGATTAGTTGATTCTTTATAAATTTTTTTGTTTTTGTTTCATTAATTTCTGATCTCATCTTTGTAACTGTTTTCCTTATATTAGCTTTGGACTTCAGTAGGATCAAATTGTTTTTCTAGTACTTCAGGGTAAATCATTAGGTTATTTATTTGGCTTGTTCTGTTTTTCTAATGTGAGCATTCACAGCCATAAACTTCCTTCTTAGGACTGCTTTCATTATCTCTCACAGGTTCTGATACGTTGTAGTATTGTCATTTGATCTTAGAGCTGTTTAATTTCTTCTGTAACCCATTGATCATTCAGGAGTGTATTACTTAATCATCATGTTATGTAAAATTTCTGTATTTTCCTTTGCAATGTATTTCCAGTTTTATTTCATCAAGAAGGGTCAGTACATGTGGGGTAATTTCAATTCTTTTGTATTTATTTAAGCATAATGGGCTAGTATGTGTACCATTTTGAAGAATGTTTTGTGTGTTGCTGAGAAGAATGTTGTTGAAGTAGGGTAGAACACTCTTGTTAGCTATATCATCTTTGAGTTTGTTTCTCTGTTTCTTCTTTTATTATTTTGTATAATTTGACCACCTCCCCCCCATTGGTGCCCCTTGGATCTGCTTTGGGGGAGTTGTGAGTTTTGGGGGGCATTTTATTGCCCCATTTTCTCATGGTTTGTTTCTGTTTTTGTTTGCGCAAACCCCTTAAGAGTAGTCCTTCATGGCATGACTTGGTGGTTTTCACCTTTTTGTTTTGTGATTCAGGACTGCTTCTCTCTAGATCTTGTGGGAAACAGCAAATCCCAACAAACAGGAGCCATGTACCAAAGCCCAGCATAATAATTTGCAGAATAAGAATGACCTATAGTAGTTATCATCAGTATATATAGATTTACTTTGTTTTTGGTGTTTACTATTAATAACACTTTTGGTTATCTTTAATGTTTTCACTGTGAAATGGACGTGTATGTGTATGTATGTGGTGTGTATATGTATCGTATATTGTGTTCATATGTATTTCTACCCTCGTCTTACTCTGAATATTTTACACACAGGCACTTATTAAGATATCCCCTTAAGCGTTCTAGTTTTCTTTGTGGAGTAGTCACCTCTTTATTGATACTTTGATAATATTGAATAAGTATTGCTCAAAAAAGACACAAGGCTATTCTATTCATTTATGAAGTATATTAATTAAACTCATAAATCAGGGTATATTGTATGAAAATTATGGATTATGAATAAGCCAGGTGTGGTAGGTGATGTATTCTGTAACCCAGTATTCAGGAACCTAAGGCAGAAGTATCACTGTGGGTTTGAGACTGAACCTTAGAGTGTACATATTTAGAAAAATATATTTTTACCATTACTACTGATGTTTTATATTTAAATCTTTTGAGATATTCAGAATATCTTTATTTTTTTTTCTTTGAGATGGGGGTCCCTGGTTGGCACCAAACTCAAGTAATCTTGCTTTGGCCTACCAACTACCTGGGACTGCAAGCATGTACTATTACACCATTTTTTTTTTTTTTTTACAACACTGTTTTGTTTTGTTTGTTTTTTGTTTTTGTGATTGAGTCTCACTTTGTAGTTCAGGCTGGCCTTGAACTCAGTCCGTAGCCCAGGCTGTCCTCAGAGTCATAGCAGTCCTCTTGCCTTAGCCTCCCAAGTGCTGGAATTATAAACTTGCCACCACACCTGGCATAGCGCTGGAGAAACTGAGCAAAAGTAAACCTTAGAATGAATGTACAAATCAAGTATACTAAATGCCTTTCCAACAAGTCATGCATTATCTCTGGAGATAGCAAACGTATATGATTTTTAAAAAACACTTTCATATAATTTTGTAAAATGAAAAAAATTGTAAATACAAAAATGTATGAGACATGAAGCTCAGGAGACACCTCTTGGCTGGTGGAGAACCCAGAGACAGAATGGTTTTTCTTGTGTTTGGCAAGTAGGCAGTGCTAAGCCTCATAAAAGGAATCTAACAGACTTACGGGAATTTGATGGAAAGATGAGTAGAGCAAGTTTATCAGAACATGGTGTACAATAAAAATAAATAAAAAGCAGAAATCTCTAACCAGTTGTTGACTTTCACCTTGATATTACAGTAGTATCTGCCTTTGGCCAACTGGATTACAGCATACTGTGCAGTTTTAAAGCAAGCAGTATATGGGCATGTCAGGGTACACATTAGCTCCTGTGTTAAAAGTAATTCCCTTCAGCTGTAATTTACTTAGGTTGTTTTCTTCACATGAGAAGTCATCTAAAATTCATTAAGATGGCACACACACAGTGGTGGCTGGTAATACATCATTAATTTCTTATATGGAAAAGGAATAGATGACACACTGAGTAATATTCATTGTGTGCGCTTCTTAACCTTGTTTTTGAGTTTTCTTAAACAATGACGTTAATTTTGTTTGTATTTTACAGTTTTGAGACAGTGTCCTTGAGTAGATTCTTTAAGAGGACAGTTTCAATTCTCTGTACCTCTTTCTTGGATTCTGCATCTGAGCTTGGATTTTAATATAGTGACTTTTGTGAAAAATGATACTTTCTTAAATGAGGTGAGGTGCTTGGTTCACACTGTGTGAGCTTTATTTTAGTTTTAAAAGACAAAAGGCCCTTCATTTTTGGTACATAAGCTTAATACTTAGCTATCATTTTTGAAATGAGATCAAAGATCTTTTGATGTGGTCACTAAGAATGTAATGTGTTTTAGGGAATAGGAAAACGGTACATTTAAATTACTATTTTAGCAGGAGTCCAAAATTACATTTAGGAAGTTAATTTCCAAGAAAAATTATGTTTAAGCATTTGATTATTAGCTCTTTATGCAGTACAAAACTTTTACCAAGAACAAGCAAGTAACTATGCTCAAGAAGAACTTCAAAAAAATTTATGAATTTCTTCTGTTTGAAAGTGAGTCAGATAAGGGAATTAGGTTATAGAAAATTAGTGATTTTTATACAAAAAGATTTGATTTTTACAACTTCTCATAGATTCTCTTTATTTTCAAAATATATTGTAAGTTGTGTTGATATTTGGATTAGTACAGGTTTGGGGGGTTAAAAAAGTCACTCTTTAAAGGAGTGAATTGACATTTCTCATCGTTTACATATTTATTTTGTTACTGTAGAGGATTTTCAAGTTTAAATTACGTAGTTTTGAGGATAAGATGACTACTTCCAACATTCTGGTCAATTTTAATTGTTTCACGTCTGTGTTTGAAGATTGAATATTTGTATTATTCTCTGTACGTAAATTGGAGGAGAAAGAAACTACTGCATATAGGTTTGTTTCCAAAGATGTATATGGCTTCCAGGATAAAATTTAAACAATATCAGGGATAGTGTCTTCAAAACCTGAAGTAATTCAGAAGTAATACTTATAGTGGTTTATAAAGCACAAGGGCAGGTTCACTTAGAGAATAATTATTACTAACCATAGAAGGTTTATATAGTATAGTTTGTATAAACTAGACAATTTAACTCCTTTTGCCTTAATCATCTAAATCCAGCTAAGATGTCCTAGGGGCTTATGTTAAAAACATTTTTTTTAATTTAGTGATCATAAAGCTATAACTAGAAAAGATACCTTCAAGAATAATGTTGTTTAATGGTTTGCTGGTGACATTTTTGTTAACAGAAATGGCGAGATTTTATGGAAAACTTAGGACCATTAATTGAAACACAGTTTTTGTTTATAAACTTTGTGCCATGAATACATGCAGTGAAGAAATTTTGTATAGTATAGCTTATAGACTGTATACCGCTCTTTCCTGGTCTCTCCCAAAACTGATAATAAAAATGTATCTTTTCTTTAAAGGCAGCATTGTTACGTCATCGTAGACTGTGTTGGCAGCAGTGCTTTCATCACTGTGGATAATTCAGCTAAAGGTAAGTCAGTTAGAAAAACAAACCTTTTACAAGATGAAATGAGGGTTAGTTAATTTTATAAGATATCTGTATTAAAAGCCTGTTTCATTAATGTCAAATATATCCTCATCTTGAGTCAGAACTTTAAACATATTTATAGATGTTTTTTAATCTAAAGCTTAAAACATTTCGAGTGCCTAGAGCTTATTTAATATTGAGCATCCCTTCTAAACTGTCATAATGACAGTAAGAACACAAAAGAGATAGAACTGATGAAACATAGCAACTGTGGAATGCTAGGGGTACAAGAAGTTTCAGATGTATACTTTAGTCATGCGAGTAGAAGAAGCAAGGGAAAAAAGCAGAACACTGGTGAGTGTGGTGAGTTAAGAGGTAAGTTAGCGACAGATTAACACTAGATTTTTAATGTTCGGCCTTCTCATTTGTAAAATAGATTAATAAAACATTGAGATTTTGTAAAGGGGTCAGCCCAGGACCTTTTACCTAGTAAATGGACAGTAAAGACACTTAGTAAATGGACAGAGCTTCTTTTTATAAGTTACATTTGAGAAATAATGAGCTTCTCGTAAGTGTTTCTGAAATAGCCTGCAGATGGTGACAGTAGTCAGCAAAGGGATCAGAACTGGGTCTGAGACAGGGGCACGAGTCAAAGCCAGTACAGTGCATTATTGCTACATGGGATGGTACAGAAGGAGAAGGTAGCCAAGAACCACTCTTTTGGATTATTAATGGGAGATTGTGGGTATACAGAAGGAAGAATAAGCAAGAGTAGTTTATTGGATAGAAAAGTGGGAAGTAAAGTTCCACTCAAAAGCAGAAACACCTCAAGAAGAGGGATATTTGGCTGGGGGAAGTGGTACATGCTGTCTAGCTGCTTGAGAGGCTGAGGCAGGAATTACAAATGTGAATTCTTCCTGGACCACTTAGTGAGACTTTTTCTCACAAGTTTTTTGAAAAGGGTTGGTGATTCACCTCAGTGATAGAGTGCTTGACTAATGTGTGAGGGCCTGGCACTGCTCAAAGACGAGGGATGTTTAGGATTATAGAAATCAGGGTTGACAAGGATTATTGGACCTCATTACTAGATTTGTATTTTTTAAAAAATGCTTTCATTAAGATATAATTCATATTACATAGAATTCACCTACTTTAAATGATATATTGTATGGTTTTGCTTTGGTTTTTGCCCATTTTTATATTTAGTAAATTCTCAGAATTGTTCAACCCTCACCATAATCAATTTTAGACCATTTTCATCACCCAAAAAAAGAAATCCCATGGCAATTAATAGTGACTTCGCATTCCCCACTATCACTAGCCCTAGGCAAACCATTAGTCCACTTTTTGTCTCTGTAGATTTCTTGTTGTGGACATTCATGAAATGGAAACTAGACAGTATTTGTCGATGGTGAATGATGTCATTTAATATTTTGTGTAATACCTTTGAGATGCACCTATGTTTTAGCCTGTATTTGTACTTCATTCCATTTTGTGGTTGAATAATATATAGTTATTCCACATTTTCTTCTATCTATTTAACATTTGATGGACATTTGGGTTGTTTCCATGTTGAGGCTATTAATGTTGCTATGAACTTTCATGTGTTAGTTTTTGTGTGGGTATATGGTTTCAGTTCTCTTAGGTGTTAACGAACTAGCAATGAAACCACCAGGTCATGAGGTAACTATGCAAAACAAAAAATAAAATATTTTTGTTGTTATGAGTTTTTTTTTTCTTTTTTGCCTACCCATAAATTGAATCCACAGTTGCCTTCTCACTGAACTCCACCACATACATACATACACACTTTTTTTAAGAAACAGGTTCTTGGTAAGTTGTACAGGTTGAATTTGTGATTCTCCTGCCTCATCCTTCCAGTGCTGGGATTACAGGTATGCACCACTATGCCCAATTTTAAAGATTATTTATTTTTAAAAAGTAAAAAAGATTATTTATTTAAAAAAAAGTAAAACATTCAGCTTGTATCCTTCTAAAGGACATTGTAAGGGTGATTGATTATAGTTCCAAAAATACTTCATAAAACCTTTTTTCTTCTTACTTTTTCATTCCAGTCTTTCATTGTGAAAATTCAGATGTATAGAAAAAGTAGAACATAAATATGCCTAACACCTAAGTTTGACGTGGTGTTTTGCATTATTTTTTCTAAAGAGTCTAAAAGTAAATTACAATTAAACACTTCAGTTTTCATCTCAAAACGTAAGGACATTTTCAAGCCAGGCATGGTGATGACCTAATGTAATCCTAGCACACGGGAGGCCGAGACAGGAGGCTGACTGAGTTTGAGGTCAACCTGAGCTTACGTAGTGAGTTCAAAGGCAGCTCAAAATGGATAGTGAGGTCTTGTCCTAAAAACAACAACAAAAAGAACATTTTTTGTGTGTGCACTGCTATAATCATAATCATGATTATATTGCTAATGTTTGAATGGGTGACTTCAGTAAGTGGTGAAAGCAAAAGCTGGATTGATCCTGACAAAGGCACATCCTTCATAAACACAGTTTTAATAGAGTAACAATGTTGACTATATATTTTACAGCTAACATGTACAGAACTATATAGTTCTGTGTATGATAGTAATATTTCATATAGTGTGAGTTTACTTTTAAAAGTATATTCTTCTTCTTCAATCTTCTTGAGAATCCTATGGTCTATGTGCTGTGAACCAGACCACCCTTCCACACTTGAATCACTTAATGTCTAACTGGAACCCAAGCTTCTAGTCACAGTTTTATGACACGTTCTCCTTGTGTTAAGGCTTTCTTACTAATTGTTTTTTTATACCTCAAAAGAGATGCTTCAGTTGAGGAATATCTTTTAAGTCTCTCCTTTTCATTCTTTCACTGCTGCTACCTTGTTAGGAATCTCTGTTCGGCTGTCACAAGTAGTTTTTCAATTTAGTCTTTTTGCTTTTAATTTTTCCACTATAATGGACAATCTAATGCTTAAACTGTGATGATTCTCATTTGCCTACAGACTAAAGTTTTGGGGCAAGTCTTAGGAAGATATTTACTTATCAACCCTCCTTTTCAGCCTCAGCCTTCCCTACTTTCTGCCCTGTGCCCATCATTGTAGCCCTCTTTGTGTACCAAAGAAGTCATGATCTTTTATGTTTCAATACTTTTCTTCATTTATTTCCCTAGTTTGGAATTCATTCCCCTCAAAGAAAAAATAAAAACAAAATACAAACAAAAAAACCTCACCCAAATACAATTACATTACTTCATTTCAATAGTTTTTAAAATTTTTTTATTTTAAAGAATAAAATCAAGCAAAATAAAACAGCAGAGCCAATCAAAACAAAACAGTATAAGTGATATATGGTTTCAAAATAAGATAAGATAGCAAAATGGCTACCAAATTCTTCTTGTCTTCAAAATAGCTGCCCATACCATCAGACATAGTAAAAAATCAAACAAAACAGAATAGAACCAGTAAAAAACAAAACAATGAACACAATACAGGACTTCAAAACAAGATAATAGTAAATCCAAAATAGCTATCATAATATATCTTGTTATCTTCGAAATAGCTGCCCATGCCATCAGATAAAACAGAATAAAATGAAACCAAACAAAACAATGAAAATGCTACAGGTCTTCAAAACAAAATAACAGGATCGGAGCAGAAAATGGCAGCTTGCTAGGAAGCTGGGTGCAGTCTTTGCAGAGAAATCAGATCAGATGCTAGAATATGACAACACGGAGAGGGCCAGGCTAATGGATAATGATTCTTATTAACCAAGGCGGCAACCAAAGGGAAAAATAAAACTAGGAAGAGGAAGGAAAAGCACGGGTGGAGAGCTGAAGCCCAGTGTGCTCACTGAGCCCCGTTTCGCGCTGTACCAGGCATGCCCAGAGGATCTAAGGTCGTGCTGACTGCGGCTGCCGAAAACGGGAGTCTAAGAATTCCAGATCCTTAACGGGAGAACACGGCACAGTGAGCAGTGGATCCAAAAGCTGTATTGGCTCTCGGTGACTGCTGGAAATTAAGACCTGGGGCCCCCTCGAAGAAGCCAAAGCCACCTGGCTGTGCTGGAGGAGACTGCAAGAGGCTCTGGGGCTCCGAAGCCAGACAACGTGCAGTTTTCTGATCGATCCACTCTGTGGTAGGAATGCAGTGAAGACACGCGACGCAGTGTGCAGTGGACCCAAGAGGAAGATCTGCATTGAGTCCCGGTGAGTACTAGGGACTGGGTCCCGCGGCTGCTGTCGCTGGCTGGAGGACATCTTGGAATTGGGCAGAGCCCAGCGTCAGTGACACAGAGACGACTAGTGGAGGACGTCTTGGAGTTGGGCAGAGCCCAGCACCACGATGACATCAGGTAGTCGCCCCTGGCACAGAGAGGTCTGGTAGAGGACAACTTGGATTTGGACATAGCCCTGTGCCGAGGTTACATCAGTCAGCCGCTCCTGGCGCAGAGAGAACTGGCGGGAACTGCTGGGGCTGAACCACGCCTCTGGTTGGGACCCAATAAGCAGATACAAAATGGTCGCAATTCTGTGATGTCCACAAGGTACAGCCTAACTTGTGGATTGACTAGCATAGAGGCTGGAGGCTAGCCTGCACCATCCTTGTGCTGCTGCCTACCTCAGATAACAGCAAATTGGGGAGGGCAGCAAAAACTCCAGACGGCACACTTCAGAAAGACCCTGAGCAATACAGAGAGGGCCAGAGACCCCCAGGACACACCAGTCTGAAAGAAACCAGAAACATGACAATAGATAGAAATTAAAAAAAAATCTCCAGCGAGAAGTAAATACAGAAGAGAACCAGCACAGTAACCATCCAATACTAGACACAGCATCAGCCAATATAAAGAAATACCTTCATGACGTCATAGACGAATTTAAAACTGTACTTCTGATCCAAGTGAGGCAAGATATAGAGAGATTAATTAAAGAAATGATAAGCCCCTCCCAAGACCAAGAGAACACAGATGGAAGAACGGAGGAAATCAGAAAAGAAAGAGAAACCTCTGATAAAGAATTTTTTTTTTGTCTTTTTTCCTTTTTATTGGTACCGGGGATCAAACTCGCGACTGCCTGCTTGCAAGGCAGGCGCTTATGCTGCTGAACTAAATCCCCACAGGCTTCTGATGAAGAATTTAAACATAACCTAGAATACATGAAACAGATCCAAAGAGAATACCAGAACACTAAAAACGCCATTGAAAACTGGCAAAATGCCTTGACAGAAACTAAAGTTAGCCTTTTGAAACTTGAGGAAAGATTTATGATATATGAAGACCTCTTAAAAATAACGAGGAACCCGAAAGAAACAATTCAAAGGCTAGAAGATGACAAGAGGTTACATAACTTAAGAATAAAGCTCCTGAACGAGGAAGCAGGAATAACCAAAAATGAACTACAAAGAATATTCACAGATATATTAAAGGAAAACTTCCCAAACATAGGAAAAAGAAAAGATAAATGAGGCATACAGAACCCCAGCCACCTACAACCAAAACAGATCTACACCCAGACATAATAATCAAGATTCCAGAAATCTACCAAAAGAACAGAATACTAAAAGCAGCCAGGGAAAACAAGCAGATTACCTACAACGGGAAAATTATCAACATAACAACAGACTTATCAACACAAACTCTCAAATTCAGAAGAGCCTGTGGAGAAATTATCCAAGCCCTGAAAGAAAGTAATTTGCAGCCAAAACTGATGTACCCAGAAAAACTCTGTCTCAAAATTAATGGAGAAATAAGATGTTTCCAAGACAAGGAGGAACTGTGGGAGTTCATGGCTTCCAACCCAACCCTACAGAGAGTGCTGAAGGACATTCCAGAGAGAGAGAGGAAGGGATACCAGAATTTCAGCAACAGTGGCAGAGAGGCCTCAATGAAGGGACAGTGGAATGAGGGAGTAAGGTGGACAAATTATAGCAGTAAAGTGGAGTAGCAGACAGAGACAGTAAGCTATAATCTTTAATATAGATAGCCTTGATACACTAAAAAAAAAAGTAGAGGTCATTGTTAGTAGTGTATCAGGATTTAAAAGTCACAGTAGTCTTATCACTCTGTTTAGTTTGAATTTATTTTGTTCTAGTCTGTCCACTCATATCAGATTTGAGGGCACAGATATCTAACCCAAAAATAGCAGGTTACACCATTGTAACTATTCTTAATTTCCTATTAACTTAAACTGAAATCCTGTATTACTTACATTGTCTTGACTGATCTTATTTGACTGATGTTATTTGAATCTGATTTGTTAGACCACAGTTTTGCCTTGGCTGATTTTATTCGAATTTGGTATGCTTCATAGTATCAAGTCTACAAGTAGAGTTAACTACTCTGAAGATGACAAGATATAAAAGATATCCATACCGATTTTTATTATTAACTGCTCTCAAGTCCTATAATGTTTTCAAAGTTGTATTTTTATAAAAATAGCTATGTAATACCATGCTTAACTATCTTAGGCCTGATGATGTGGACAAGTCTATTGAAAATAACAAGAGAAAGCATAGTAACTATGGTAGATCACCTAATATTGTGGTCTTACGTGTCTTTTTCATTGCATGTTTTTCTAGGAATTTGTTTTGCTCTCTTGTTATGATTTGTTTTTCCCTATAATACAGGGAGGATATACATGTAGAAATTCACACATGGGAAGAATTTTTTAAACTGTTTACAGGAACAGATTATATAATGCAAAATATAATCAACAGATACTCTAAAGAAGAAGAGACACTAAGAAACCCAATGCTAATTCTGTAACATTATGATATAAAATCTAGCAATACTATCATTCACTGTTCAGAGTGATATTAGTCTAGTCTCTTAAGTTCAATTTCAGTATACGTAAATATAAGGACAGCTACTACGAAGAGAATGAGAAACACTGTGGTAGTCATTATTGTCTTCCCCAATGTCAGATCTTGAAGACCTAAAAAGTTTTCATCATCCTGTATTGATTTGATTAGTTCTATAATATGCAGTATGTATTCAATGTGTGCGAGGATGGGGGCAACTATTTGGAAGAAAACTAGAGACAGTAAGACGGACAGTGAAGATCTCCAGTGGACTTGCTTTGAAATCTGTATTTCTTTAAACTGTTTCTTTTTGAATTGTTTTATTGTTTTGATATGTTTAATCTTACCCTCTTTAAGATAAAAAACAAGTGTGTAGGACTGATAACTATATTATTAAGTTTTTGTTGGATCATTGAACAGAACTGTTGGCAGTGTCACTATTTGAATGTCACTTTACATACTTTAATTTTGTAACCTGAACAACTACTTCTAAGATGACAATATGTAAGTTATCAACTGGTGATTTCTTACTGTTTATTTTTCTGTAATTCTGTATTATTTTTACCCTTTTTTTCTCCATTTTTTTGTTTCTTTCTCTTTAAATAAAAAAAAGATAATAGGAATTAACAATGGTAACGTGGCTACCACCTTCAGAAGGAGATCCCCCATAGATGCTATACTGCATGTTGTTATCCTCTGAATAGATGATCAAATTACTGGCTTGAGGTCTGCAAAGCCAATAAAACACTAAATACTACAAGCATTAAGTTGTATTTTATTTCAATAGCTATCATCTCAGCCTGTGTTTTTCTGGATGAGCCAGTTGCTCTCTGGAGTGAGGATGGGGTGATTCTGGCTGCTCTTGGCTCTGAGCCTGCACGCTAGAAGGGGCTGGCATCTGGTTGTCCCCACAGCCCACACATGGTGCTGACTCACAGGAAGTGGCTAAATTCTTGTTCTCCTCCCTGCAGCACGCGAATCCCAGTAATTCTTTATATATATTGCATTCTTGAGTTTAGTAATGCTTTTTCTGTGTGCTCTCAAATACAACATGTTTGACGAATATTTAAGTACCTACTACATTTTGAGCCATGATATGGCAACAGTGGCAAACAAAACATGTATAACCCTTCGTGATAAAATTTGCAGTCTAGCCAAATAAATTTGTTGAAGGCAGGGACCTTGTTTTATTTTGCATCACTGCTGTCTAGCATAGAACTTGCCATATAGTAAACTCGCAGTGCATATTACTGAATCAAAATGCTTACTACTTTTTTCACGAAGAGTAACTTGAGAGTCAGATTATCATAGGCTGAATAAGTGTGCAAAGAAAAAATGAAGATGTATTTAGGATTTTTCTATGAATGAGATACTTTTTATCATATTTAGTTGTAGTACTCAACTGGAAAACTGGTTGTCAAACAGGTTCTTAACTTCAAAGTTTCCACACCTTTAGAATATCACAAATATAATATAGAATATCACAATTCTTTGAAAAGTAATATCAAATTTGATTTCTAAATAGTTTTATTTAGACTGTATATAGTGTTACTTATCTGTATAGTCTTTTAAAAAAATAAATCTGTATTTTATAATTTTATAGGTAAATACTTGGACTGTCTTCATCCAAGACCATAGCATCATGGGAAATACGGTTCTGTTGTAGTCCTTAATTAAGGTAAAGCCAAGTTGTACTTTTCTGTTATTTTCTTTGAAAAAACTGAAGGTTAACTGCCTGTGATACTCTCTGTAGATTCTGTACTTATTTGTGACACCTATTTAAACTCAGGGAAGGCAAGACTAATTCTTCTGTTCTTTAAAACCAAAACTTTCATTCATTTAATGAACATACTAACAGAAGAGATTTCAAAATAATAGTAAGTATATTCACTGAGGTCTTCCTTTCTCTCGTGGCTGGCAGAATCACCTTTTAAACATGAAATAGAAAAACTAATAGTGCTTGTAAAATATGACTATAGTCATAAAAGGTGATTTTAGAGAATGAAATACATTGTTCAATTTAAATTGTGTGTTTTATTTTTCTTAATCTTAAAGATATCCAGACCTTGTTCACAGCATTGTGTGACATCTAGTACTACTGATCTTATAAACTTGTAAATATTCTAAGTAGCACAGGGTAGAATTCTTACACAAATAGTAGGGAAACTCATTTTAGAGGTTGATGTGCTTTGCTTTTTGGGGACATTTCTATGGTCTTGTTTTGCTTTCTTGTATTGGTTTAGCTTTCTCTTTTTTTTTTTTCATTTGTTTTGTTTGTTTGTCTTTTTGAGACACAGTCTCACTATGTGAATCAGGCTGTCCTGAACTCACTGTGTAGCCCAGACTGGCCTTGAATTTGCAGAGATCCTACCACGTCTGCCTCCCAAGTACTGGAATTACAGGCATGCATCACCAGGCCTGGTGCTTCCCTACCATCCTAAGTTCTTTTGTTACAAATTCACAGTATTTTTTTTTAAGAGTATGAATTCTATATTTTAAAAAAATTTTTTTTTGGTACCACGGATAGAACTCATGACCTTGTGCTACTTGCCAGGCAGGCATTTGTGCTGCTGAGCTAAATCCCTAGCCCCTATATTTAAAAATTTACCTCCCAAGAACTGTAGAGAATGTAACACTGCTTACATGTATAGTCCTTGTTTAATCTTTGTCTACCCTGTGATAAGTACTGTGGTTCTGCCACAGAAAGGCCTGTTGATGCAAACAATAACCATAGTGCTGTTTGCATTCTTTGGCTTCTTACCATTGCCTTATGTCAATGTTATTCAACTAGCTTTTTAAATCACTTGGTGTTTGATATTTCATATGGTAAACTTGACTTTAACCTTTAATAATGAGAAGTCTAAGAGGGAAAACAATTGACTTTTCAGTGATTAAGGCCAACTGCTCATAAAGCACTTTTCTACATGCTTGCTCCTTGCTGGCTTACTGGGTTCTGGTATATTCGCAACTTCTAATGCTTCAGTTTGGAAATTCATCTTTTAAAATGTTTGAGTTTGTCATCTTTTCTGCTGTGGTTAATGAATAGCCGTTCAATGAGTACATCATAAAAGTTGGTGGCTACATAATGTTTCTGCTGAGGACGTGGTTTTCTTAAGGGATGAGGTGATACCTCAGTTGGAAAGCATGATTTACCTAGCATAAGCAAGGCCCTGGGTTCAGTTCCCAACATTTCTCCCTCAAAATAGAAGTGATTCTCTTAAGTTTAGAGTAGTTATCTGTACCTTTTATGGTAAAAGCCTCAGAAAGATGCTCAAACATGATTTGTTAATACAATTTTAAGGGTTTTCTAGATAATTAAAACTACTGTTGGCCTTAAGAATATTCTGTTTCTAAAAAGTAAAATTCTTTTTTTCTTTTTTATAAATGTTTCTTTTTTATGTTTTTTTTTCTAACAAGTATAATTTTTAACTATAGTTGCTGGTGAAAAGACATTTACATCCTCCTTGGGTTACTTTAAAAAGTTTTGTTATTTGAAGATATCTGATTAGTCTTTAATATTTTTATTCCAGGGAAAAGTCAAGTTGATGTCACAATTATATAGCTAACTACACTAGGTCCTCTTCTGGCTTGAATGGCCATACGCCTACAGATACTAATAAAGTTTCTCACAAGATGAGCTTTTTTGTGCCTTTGAACTAAGTCAGGTATAATCATCTGTGAATAAATAATATCCAAGCTATGTTTCTGAATTCAGTGTGTTAAATTTCAGGGTGAGTGGGGTTGAGATAAACTTGACATGTATGCAATTCATAGTGACAACAGTATTTACTTTTTTTCTTTTAGTATTACCTCTATGAACTTTCAAGCAGCACTGTTATTCTGTGACTCAGCCAGATCTGACCTTATATAATTATAGCTTTTCAGAACAGGGAACCTAAGAAGATGGCAACACCAGCTCATAAAAGCATGTGAGTAATTCTATGCACATACTCTCTTTAACTGAGTTTGTTTCATTTGCTCTTATAAAAATGCACTTTTTTTTCTTTTCCAGACTTGACGACAATAAAAATGGTAAGAAATTATTTTATGGATTCTTTGTGTGGGGGTGTTTATTTTTAGTAACTATTTCTTTCACAAATAATGTTTCAAATTCTTTCATCTTTATTTCTTAAAGTTCTCATCTCTCCATGGAAAGGAAAATTAACTATTCAAGATTGTGTGCTATGTGATATAACTTTGTGGTCCAATTATGGTACAGGAATTCCAGCACAGTTGTAAGTATCCTTCCTGATGCTTATTTTACAGTTACTTTTTATCCAGTGCTAGTTGTCTAACCCAGGGCCTTGTGAAGTCTAAGAAAGCAGACTATCGCTAAAAGGTAGGTATCCCCAACCACTAGTTTATGTTTTTGTTTTTGTTTTAAATTCTCTTTTTGAGGTCGTGGTGGATGGTATTAGGGTACAATAGCAGTTAGACTTGATTTTAGACAGAATACATTTGAGTAGATGTGTAGAACACAAGGCTATAACATGGGAGACCTAATTTCCAATCTGTTTACAGGCAGATGATCTCTCAGGATAAATTAAATTATTTGATATTTGAATTCTAACTTTCTCCTAAAACAAACCAGATTTGCCCAAATATAACAGATTATAGCAACTGGATTCTGTTAGTGAGTTCATTAAGATTTGCAATATCCAACTTCCTAATTTCTGTATCATTCTCTTACAAAAATGTTAAAGTATAATGTTGCATCTATTTACACTATAATAAATTATCATGATACATTTTTTCCTGGGGAGCTGTGAGAGCCATCTCTGAACATTTTTGTTCAGGGAGTTGTACTTTTGTACCCAAGACCATTAAAAGGAAGACATAGTTTAGTTTAACTATTAAGCAAAAACAAGCATAGTATCAGAATTTATTTACTTTCTGTTGACCCTCTTAAAGAAAAGGCAGTGGGGGCATTGCAGCCCACCTAGTAAAGAATTCTGTAAATAAGTAAAAGAGAAAGAGGAATTCTTCCTCACTGTAAAGTACAACTACTAAATGTTGAAAAACTGATGGAATACAGTAATCAACAAGCAGTTGTCAGACTTGGATGATATTTGCATATATCCATACAACTTGCTTGTTAATCACAAAGGGAAAAGTTGACTTACCTGTGGAGAAAACTGGTAAATCTCATTTCAAGTGGTTAAATTAACTTGGCCATTAACACAGTCAGTGTCATGTGCTTTCTGCATAGAGAATGGCACAGTGGCACAGTGGCACTTCTGTCTGTGATGTGGCTGCTAACCTAATCAGACAGAAACATTAGACTTACCCAAATACAAAGGCATTCTATAGAATGATCTGCATTCTTTAAAATAGCAAGGTCTTTAAAAATAAAGACTAAGAAGCTATCCCAGATAAAAGGAGACTAAATAAATACGGTAACTGAATGCTTAGGAAATTATTTTCTTTTGCTGTGAAGAATCCTAGTGAGATATTTGACAAAATTTGAAGAAGGTCTATTAAGTAATGGTACTATAGCACTATGAATTCCTTGATTTTACTGTTTGCTTTAGCCTTGTGCAAGAAAATTTCTCCTTTTGTTGAAGAAATATTTGGGGTAAATAGGCCTCAGGTTTGCATCTTACTCTTAAAAGAATCAGAAAAGTTAATGTAGAGAAAAAATTAATAACAAAGCACATATACTTAGGGATCTGGATAAAAGCATATAAAAAGTCCTTTATACTGTTTTTACAAATTTTCCAGTCAAAAAGTATTTCAAAATAAGTTTTAGAAAAGGAAAAAGTAATTGGGATATGTCATTGTTACTTTTCTTTCATTGCTGAGACAAAATACCTGACGCCCACAGTTGAAAGATGGAAGGTTTATATAACTCAGAGTTTGTAAAGGTTTTAGTCAATAATGGTCTGACTCCAGTGCAGGGTGGCTTCACAGAGGAGAGCAGTGCATTGTGGTCAGAAGACAGTAAAAGCAACAAGGAAGGGAGACAAGACTTTTTCTGTTGCTTGTATGAATGCAGGTTACTGCCCTAGGGAAGACACTCACCTTTAATCCTAGACAAACCTATGCTAGAACAATCAGGGATTGATTTACTGGTCACACACCCTTAATCCCAGCATCGCACACTGAATTCACCACCAAAAAAGTTGTATGACCACATAAGACTTTGGGAGGACATCTTGACACAAGCTTTGGGGGCACATCTAGACACAACAGGATATAATTCAAAAGATACAGTTCCTTATATGGCATAAGCCAGTTTTACCAAGAATTTTCACTCATTCTATGATTCTTTGACACATCTGGATATTTTGGTTATACCAAAGATACATAATACTCAGAAAATCTGGGCATATTTTCAGACTATACCTATGGGTCATACGTATGAAAATCTATAATGTTACAAGTATGCATGATATTTAACCTGCTGTCTGTTAATTTAAGGACTTTTGTGGTAATTATACTTTTATTTGCATTTACCTTAGAAAAATAAAAATTATAAAACTATAGATACAATTTCAATATTTATTACACCACGTCATATTGTTTTGTTTTTTAGACCACACAAACTAGATTTTAAGTATGTAATGCAAGTGTCATCTTTGAAAAAAAAACTGCCAGAAGCTGCTTTTAGGAGACAGATTTACTTGGAGGAAAGAGGTTTGTTGAAATAAAATATTACATTGCATGGGCTTTGTTCTACTTTCTGCTTGTCTTCTAAACATTTACACATGTGTACACTTGTTTCATCATAAATACTTCTTAAAAGGGTCTTTTGAGAAAGTTCTAGAGTTGCCATATTCATTTCCTTGGAAGCTGAGAAGAAACTGGACTGTAATTTTAAGAGGAAAGACTAGGTTTAATAGAGAATACTAAGAGATACAAAAACAAACTCACAACCATTCTTCTCAAGAATAAAAGCATTTTTGTTACTATTTATATTTATGTACTTTTAAATCAAATATGAAAAGAAAACTTTTTGCTCATTTAGGTTACTTCATAGAGCATTGATGTTTATGTAGTATTTGTCTTGTTAATGCTATGGCTGTGTCAGGGTAGGTGAGAGCATTATTTAAAAATAATTCACAGATGAGCATGGTGGTGCACATTTGTAACCCCAGCCCTTGGGAAACTAAAGCAGGAGGATCACTACAAGCTCAAGGACAACCTGGGCTACCTAATAAATTCAAGACCAGCCTAAACTACATAGCGAGATCCTGTCTCAAAATTACAAACAACAACAAAAGAACCCCGTAATTTTTTTGTTTTGTTTTGTTTTTGAGACAGGGTTTCTGCTATGCAGTTCAGGCTGGCTTTGAGCTCACTTTGTAGCCCAGGCTGGTCTCCAATTTGCCATGATCCTTCTCCCTCAGCCTCCTGAGTGCTGGGATTACAGACATGCACCACCATGCCCAGTTATCAGTAACTTTTTATTAAGCAGTTTTATAACTGAGAACATTAAATCATAAAAGTTTTTGAGTAGTAGTGCTAGTTCTTTCATTTTTGTAACATAAATAAGTGAATAGTTATAAAAATAAAAAATATTGAAAAAAACAAATGTTTTTCTTATTTTCTTTACAGTCTGTTTCCAAGATTTGTGCTTCAATTTGTATGAGGCAGAACTGTCAAACAAACAAGGGAAAGAAGTAGACAAATTAATAGACTACATTAAAAATGAGGAAGTGGTAAGAATTTTTCTAAAGTTTGGTTTGTTGAGACAAAATCTTGCTATGTAATTCAACCGGTCTCAAACTCACTCAACCCAGGTTGGCCTCAAACTCATGGCAATCTTTCAGCCTCAAACTCATGGCAGTCTTCCTGCCTCAGCTTCCTAAGTGCTGAGATTACATGCATGCAGCACCATGCCCAGCAAGAAACATTCATTGAAACATAATTTTTTTCTTGAATTGAGAAGAAACTGATTTCAAAGTATTAGTTGGCTGTATGTGGATGGAATTATTTTATTTGGGATTTTTTTGGGGGGAGGCAGTTACCAGGAATCAAACTGAGGACCTCACACTTGCCAGGCAGGTTCTGTACCCCTGAGCTGTATCACAAGCCTGGATGGAATTATTTTAGATTGCTGAAATGATTTTCATTACTTAATTTTTATTGATGTGTTCACATAATATTTATTGACTTAACATGTTTTTATCTGCCTTATATCTCAGCTCACTTTTGTGTCTCAGGTACACTTTTGTGTAATTATTACCTTAAAATTAGTGTAAGAACATTGGGTTTCATCTTTGTTATGGGTATATAGGTTTTTGAAATGTTGAACAGTGGAAAAAAAGAACTTTCAACTTAATGATTTAGAATGATAGCTTTTAGATAACTTCCCTGTGTTCCTGGGGACAAATTCTCTTACTTGCTAAAAACATTAAAATTGGAGCTCTGGATTCCATTGAAGACTGGTAGAATTTACTTATGTCTACATTTTTTTGTTGCCTTTAAAATTGATTACTCTAGTTTTTTAATCTCTCAGGATGATATAGAGAGAATTTGGGGGAAGTTGATATCATCTAGTCTTTCTAGTTCCATAATTCTGCAAAAATTTTTATGTAAACATGAGTTTAATGTGCTACTTAGAACTGAGAATGTATCTCAGTGGTAGATTGCCTGCCTAGTTTGTGTGAAGCCCTGGGTTCATTCCTTAGCACTGTAAACAAAGTAAAATACAGTATTTATAGGCCTGATTCATCTCGCATTAATGGCTGCATGGTAACATATTGACTCTTTTTTTCCCCTTATTTTCTGAGACAGAGTCTAGCAATATAGCCTAGGCAGGCCTCATAGCAATCCTCGTGCTTCAGCCTCCCAAGTGCTGGCATTACCTGTATTGGTTTTTGGTGGTGATTGAAAATGTAAACTGTTGGGGCTGGGGGTTTAGCTCAGCGGCATAAGCACCGCCTTGCAAGCAGGCAGTCGTGAGTTCGATCCCTGGTACCGATAAAAAGGAAAAACTCCAAAAAAAGAAAAAAGAAAGAAAATTTAAACTGTCTCATTGGGGAAAAAAATGAAATAAATCTGTTCTCATTGACCTGTTATATAGTTGAACAGTATTCTAAAACTAACCTTTGCTGTTCTAGTTACTGTGTTTAGCCAGAATGTGGCCAACATTATTTCAGCTAAGGAATTTATGGTTCCTGATACTGGGGACAAAATTCTCATCACTCCTATAAATGTTTCAAGAACTTTTGCTTGCGCTCAGAATACACAAAAGAGTATAGTAGACAAAGTTATTAATCCTTCTTTCTTTCATGTTTAAGGCAATCATCAAATGCTTAAAAGATCGAGGGTTTCTCATTTTACTTTCATCATCAGCCTTAATACCAGAGCCAGGTAAGGACAGCTAACTTTAGGGAAATTTTTCTTTCAGTTTATTTACTTTTATTTTATAAGATCACAAGCAATAACCCTTCTTCTTTTGATTCTCATTTTGTATAGCTATTGGAGATGAAAAGTGGAGTCTAAATGTGTTACATTTATTCCATTCACTCCTGGCAACAGGTGAGAATACAGTAGCACCCAGTTCACCTGGTCTGTTTTTGGTCCCCATCCGACTCATCATTGTAGTGACACGTGACTCTTTGCCCTTTTACTACAGACTTAACTCCTCTTGACCGTCTTTAAAGGCTTACTGTTTCCTCTGAACCTCAGGCCCATGTTTTCAGTGTCTGCTGTCATTCCTATCTTGATTATCTCCAGGTTCCCCAAATTGAGCTTGTCCAAAATTGAATCTGTTTGTTGCTGAACAGTAGTAACCAAGGTATGCTTTACCCATAGCCTATACAATAGGTGTGACTCAGGGTCTTCATAGACATGCTTACTTCTATCTGTCTGTACTGTCGATCTCCGTATTTGTCTCGTGTATTCTGGGGGTACTGCCCCGCAACGGTCCAAAACTGAGCTCTTACAGTTAAAAAATATTTGTGTAGTACCTAAACAGATATGCAGTATAGCTGTGGTATTAATATTTGCAGGGCAGTTAGGGGGAAATTATGTCTAAAAAAAGCCCTTAGGGAAGGATAACAATCAGAAAGGTAGAGAACCAGTACTTGGTTTATTTATGTCTATCAGGTTGTAGTTTCAAAATCACTTTGTTTTAAAAAATTTTTATTTTGAAGGTAGTAAAATGCAACAGAACAAGATAGAATAAAGCCAACGGAGACAGTGTAGTGAAATTGATACAGAACTTCACAGAAGGTTACCGGGATAAGAGTAATAGGTATCACAGTATATCTCATTATTTTCACAATAGGTGTTCTTTCAATCACATATATCAAAATAAAATGAAATACAGAACATTATAGAAATTATCAAAACAGAATATTGAATAGAGCAGTACCATTAATCAGAATAGAGCAAAACAGTAATAAAAATATTTGCCTTCAAAGAGATGGTAGAAGGAAACCCCCCTTATTTGCTATGGTCAGCCTCCCAAGAGATGCTCAGATCTCTGGTTCCCATTTGCTAATGGGGGTTGGGGGGGCAGGAGAAAGGGGCTAGGGGAAGTGAGATGATTCACTCTCAGCCTGTGTACCAGTAGGCTCACTATTGCATAGCAGGGAGGCAGGCTGATTGCTTGGTTTACCAGCGTTGTAAATTGCAACATGGCGCAGATCTCAGGAGCCACTAGTGGTTCTCCCCCTGGAGAGGCCGCAATCAAAATCATTTTTTTGATAACTTCAACTAGAATCCTTAGATTTATTATCAATAAATTGTTTAGTGTCTACCTATTATCACAAGAGGAAATTCTCCATGTTCTGTAACATACTGTGTGTTTTTTGTTCTATATTTTGTGGTGCATGTTATACAAGTGTTCAGTTACTAAGCTGTATCTCCAGCCAATATGGTACGTATTTAAACGTAATCTTACCCTGGTATTTATAAGGCTACAGCCAATGTAGGGAATTTCTTAAAGTTGCTTTTTTTAAAGGGGGACAGTGGTGAGAAAGATCTCACTATGCTGCCCAGGCTAATCTTGAATTCTTGGACTTAAGGATTCTCTCACCTTATCCTTTCAAGTATTTGAGTCTACAAGCGTGCACCAGAATGATTAGCTAAAAATGATTTTTTAAATCGTATTAAGTTATTCAAGACCAAGAGCTGTACTTCCTTGGGTATCACTTCCTTGAAGTAAGCAAAACATTAGCATTTGTAGTAACACACTGGCTTATTTGAATTATGTTAGGTATTATAAAAGGTGTAATTGATTTAGCGGGCTTAAAAAAAGCTAAACAGAGACTTAAATTTGCCCAGGGTTACACATCTGACACCATTGCTGACTTTAGCTACTTTATCTTACAGTACCTCTCGATAATATTTCTGACATCGTTGTTTTTAAATGTAAATTGCCCCTTGGATAAGAACCTTTACTACCTGTACCCAGTACACACCAAGAACTCTTATTTGAATAAATATTGGAATGTTTTATTTTTCATTTGTTCTTGAGGCTCATTAAGATATTTTTTACTTAGGGTCATCCATAGGTTTAAAGCTTAAGTTACTGTTTTACTTTGAGTAATATTCTGTTTAACCAACTTAAAAAATTATAAAGATTTTGTAGTGGTCTGTTAGAAATAATACTGTGTTACCAAGTTCCTTCTTGCAGTAATGCAGTTTCCTAGAAAGTGCTACTTTATTGTTAACTGTGTGCTTTTTTTATATACATAAAGACTTTATATTTTATACCTTCTTCACTTCTTGTGTCTAAAAAATGAACTACAAAGAAAGAAACTTTTATTTTAACAACTAACCACATGTCCTTGCTTGTTCTTATTTGCCCTTCCTTTCCTTTAACTAATACTTGCTACAGTAGTAGTTATTTAACTAGGACTGACGTGATGTTTTATAATTCTGCAGGTGCTTTCCCTTTTAAAAGAACGGAATAATTCCCATTCCATTTACTAAGTACTGGCAGTCTATTTTATCTGTCAGTGTATATTACTGATAACTCAAATTTTCACAAGTTCACAAAAACCTGACCTGTTCTTGTTTTCTCTTGCTGCTTCATTTCAGTTACTGATTTGCTTAAGAAATAGCATTCAAAGAGTGAGCTAGAAGAGAAGGTTAAATAGACTAGTTGATTTAGCTAATTTAAAATTTTTTTATTCCATTTTCTAGAAAAGGTGATGGAACTAACAAATGTTTCGGTGAGGTTTGAAGATTATTTAGGGCCTTTCAATTTAGTTGATTCATGAGAACTGATCTTATAACGCATAGTGAAATGAACAAATACTTTGAAGAAAAAGAGACACTACAGTACCCAGTGCTGACCCAGGAGTATCATAATGTGAAACCCAGAAATACTGTTATTCTTTGCTCAGAGTGCTTATAGCCTGCTTGGGTTTGTTCAGTCTCAGCATAAATGAAGATATGAATAACTACATGTATAAGTGTATAGGATTGATAACCATATTACTAAGATTTTGTTGAACAGAACTGGTTGCAGTCTCGCTATTTGAAACCCCACTTTATATGCTACACTTTTGTATCTTGAATAACTATTTGTAAGAGGATAATATGTAAATATCAATAGTGATTGATATCAAATAGTGATTTCTTACTGTTTATTCTTTCTTTGAAAGTATGTATTATTTCTACCCATTTTCTGTTTTTAGTCTTCCTTTAAATAAAATTTTTTAAAAAAGAGCAAAGGGAAGGAAAGGTGGAAACTACCGTCAATTTCTTATTGTCTTATCTTGAACTCTTGCATTGTTTACACAATTTTATTAGGTTTGGCTTTGTTCTTTTGTTAGATTTTATACTTTCAGATGATAAGGGCAGCTATGTTGAATATAATGGGAAATATTATGGTAATCATGGTTTCCTGTTATTGTTTTGAAGTCTTATAATGCTTTCATTCATTGGTCTGATTTTATTTTGTTTTGTTTGATTTTATTACATGAGATGGTATGAACACTATTTTGAAGAAAACAAGACATGGTAGCTATTGCTGATTTGCTATCATCTTGTTTTGAAGTCCTACCATGCTTTTGTTCTTCTGTTTTGATTGGTTCTATTCTGTTGTGTTTTATTTGATTTAATTATGTGTGATGTTATTGACAAATTTTTTTAGGAAAATGAGGTATTATAGCAGCCATTATTCATTTCCTGTTATTTGGTTTTGAAGTCCTGTAAATGCTTCCATTCCTTTGAATGTTTTTTTACTATATTGTTATGTTTGATATTGTGTGTGAAGGTATGCTCAACTATTTCAAAGAAAAGAAACATTATGTTAGCTACTGTTGATGTCCTGTTGTTTTGTTGTGAAGCACTGGGTTGCTTGCATTTTCCTGTTCTGATTTGCTTTGTTTCATTCTGTTTTCTTTTGTTCTCTTTAAAATGAAATAAAAAGAATCTAGGAAAAAAACCCTGTAAGTCAATTTAGTTGACTTGCATTATCACTTCTAAAGTGAATTTGAAGAGAGTTGTATGGGTACTAATAAAACAAATAAGGCAATAAGTAAAATAGGAAAGCAAATCTGTGCTAAATGTTGCTGCTATAAAGGACCATTGATTAACTACTGGGTTTCTGATCAAGTGAGATAAAGCTGGAGCTAGAATTTAGTTTATTTGTTCTTAGTAATTGCATGTCCGGTGACTCTGTTTCAGTTCAGTGTGTGCATGTAATTTCAAATATGTGAAGTTACATATTTGTGAACACTGCCCCTCCCCCAGTTTGAACCATGTGTATGACTGTCTCGTTGGGTGGCTTGTACCCCTGGTGGTACAAACGGATATAATTGCTTGTATCCTTTTTTTACTAATAAAATTTTTAAAAAGCCACCCAATGAGATAGTCATATATATGACCCTAGCAGTTCAAATTGTAGAAGCGAGACATACGAATTACACCCCTGTCATGAATCTGTCAAATATACTCATAAGTGTGTTAGTTGTTGTTTGGTTATCATTAATCTCTTAGCATATCTAACTATTCTATCTTTCCTTACATGTTTTATCAAAGAAACTTTGGCCTCTAATATATGTGATATCTATTTTAGAGGTGAAAGTTTTGAAAATTGAAGATGACATCTCATGGAAGGTGGTTCCCATTTTACCTGCTCTTAATTCTGCCCTTCTGGAAGCAAAAAAAGTACTTCCTGAAGAAGAAACTCATCCAAACATATTAGTAAAACGTAATTTCCAAGAACTGTACAAGGTGGACAAAAGCCTTTCATTGACTGCTGCTCAGGATGGAAAGAAAGATACCACATTTTTTGGGACACTGTCTAATAGTTTTGACTTGGTTCCTTCACCTGAAAAGTGTGCTATAGAGTCTGTAACTCAGTTGAAGTCTTATTTTTCAGATCCTACTGGTTATACTTTGGAAGTAGCTACTGCTTTGGATTTGTTAGCAGAGCATCTTCCATCTCCTTATATTTCAGATGGAATTTGTGATGCTGGATTTTCTTTAGTTATGACTCCAGATCCTGAATTTCTTGATTCAGAGGCAGAAGTAAAAAAAGAAACTGAAACAGAAAAGAATTTTGAAGAAATGTTTAAAGCAGCGTCAAATCTGAGAGTACAGCCAAAGAGAAAGGCCGCCATGCTTTCTGTAGTGCCCAGCAAAAGAGTGAACCTGTGCCACCCATTTGCCAAAAGAACACCTGCAACAGACAGCAGATCACATTCTCCACCAACTCTGAAGTTAGTTAAAGGACAGTTTCCTCAGAAAAGAAAGAGAGGTACGTACAACTTATACAGATTATTACAATAGTACCTGTTGGGGGTGGGGATTTAGCTCAGCGGCATAAGCACCTGCCTTGCAAGCAGGCAGTTGTGAGTTCGATCCCCAGTACCGATAAAAAGGAAAAAGACAAAAAAAATAGTATCTGTTGTATTCAAAGCCGGTACCTGTCTGAGTTTAAGTGGACTGGAACATGGCAGAGTATTAGAAGTTTGTTACAAACACCATCATATCTGTCTAGCAGAAGTATGTTCCTGCAGGTGCTTGAGAAGTACTGACCTAGATAACTGTAGAACACTATGAGATACAATAAACTAAGACATTGCAAAAGCCTGCCCATGAAAATCCTGTATTCTCAGACTATCACATACTTACGTTTCATTCTCAGAAAGATGGCCATCTATTTTTTTGGGCTATCCTCTGACAGACTGAGGTGGAAGAAGGGAATCTTCTAAAAGCAGGCATATGACAGTGGCAGCAGAGGGTGATAGCTGACAGCCTAAACACCCATAAAAGAGGAAGTACCTGAACCCGTAACACTAAAGTAGTCTGGGACTGTATGTATCAGAGAGATTATATCTGGGAAGCTGAAGCAGGAGGGTTTCAAGTTCCAGCCCAGCCTGCACAACTTAGAAAGACCTTATTTCAAAGTAAAAACAGTAAAAGGGCTTAGTGCAAAGGCTTAGGTTCAGTTCCCAGCACTAAAGAAAAACAACATCAACTGAATCTTAAGCACTTGGGAGGCTGAGGCAGGAGAATTGCCGTGAGTTCGAGGCCAGCCTGCACTACATAGAGAGACCCTGTCTCAAAAAAAAGAAAAGACCAACCTACTGAAATGGAATATAGTGAAAAAGTTCCACAGAAGTTTTGATGCTCCTGGAAAGTTGATAAAATCAGATTCCAGAGTCATTAAGTATTTTGACAAATGTACTTCAGTCAGCATGCCACGCCATATTCTCAAATTGTATTTAGTGTGTTTTCTCTAAAAGGGTAGAGAACTAAACAGTTAATCATACCTGTGTATGATTAACACAGGTATGTTTGGCTTTGGCTTCTCTCACTCAACATTGGCAGTTCAATAGTTGTGATGAAGAGACTACCACATGGCCTTCAAAGCTGAAAATACGCACTTTCTGGCCCCTAAGAGAAAGTTTGCCCACCCATCTATGCTGTTTTGAATTTGAAAATGCTAGTCTCTAGAAGAGAAACTCATAGGATATGCTGATGCACAGGATTCCAAATAATTGAGATTTTACCCTGTGTTTTAACAAATAATAATTAATGCCCTGCTGTGGTTTGAAAAGTGGTGTGGTATATGTGTGTTTAGGAGGCTGGTGGAAAGTATGACAGTAGAAAGCATGGAATCAGACTGTACATCTGTTTATAAGTATATTCCAGGCCAACCATACTGAGCTTCTATTTTGCATAAACCAGTTTACTTGAGGATATTAACTTGTCTCTAATTCAACATACATTCTTACTGTTTCCAAAGTGTTTTAAATTACTGAATATTCAGGTATAAAATACAGATATTTTATATCTAGTACACATAGGTTCATACCTGACTGAAACAGAAATTTCAAAGTTTTTTCCTCTCTCTGTGTAATATAATCTGATGTTTTCTGGTCTGTTTAAATTAAGAAAAAATGGTGGCTGTGAAACATTCATTTTACAATCCCACCCTACACTGGATTATTACATGATTAAAAGATGGCATTTAGGGGGCTGAGGATTTAGCTCAGCGGCATAAGCGTCTGCTTTGCAAGCAGGCAGTCGTGAGTTCAATTCCCGGTACCGATAAAAAGGAAAAAAAAGAGAAAGATGGCATTTAGTTACACATCTAGAATACTACCCACCCCCCAACTCTCGTAGCCTAGGACCTCAGTTTATGAGAGATCTTCCTTTCTTGTTTGTGCAAATAGGTTTTGGTTATCTAATCTTTTTGTTTTGTTTTAATTTAGTATTAACCATTTTTCCTGTTTGTATTTTTGCCTTTTCCCTGAGCTGAAAATTTTAGAAAACGTAACTAGAGTGTAATAAGTCTTACCTTTAAAACCAATATGCTGCTTGATTCCTATGATAATTTCATGGGGAGGAAAACAGAGCTAGAGAAATCTGGAATTTTAAGACATTCTGGAAGCTTTCTTTAAAACCATTCCTTTCTTTAACCCCTTCAAAAGAATGAAATGAAATGTGTCTGTTTTCCAAAATATCTCTGACGCTCATCAGTATCTTATGCTGTTTAATATCATAGTTAGTATTCTGAAAGAGAAATAGTGGTTTTTGTATAATTTTAAAATATTTACCAACATTCATGTATAATTATACATCTTTGGGGCTAAATTTTATTGGTGGAAACAACCAAATTTATGAAAAGCCAACGAGAAAAATGTATCCATATTTTAGCTCCAAAAATTGACACTTTATTGGGTAGTGGTTAAGCTAATGGTATTGTTTTCCTGCCTACTTACCTCTGCCTTTAGCTGTTTTCTTAATTCCATATAAAAAGCAAAGCAGTTATCTTGTAAGAAGGGTGATTTCTATTTTGTAAAGTGGTAAATTTGAAGCAAATAAAACCAGGTGCAGACTCCTCAGTCTTTCTCTGAAATTTTTTATTTTTTAATTCATTTTCAGATGGTATTAAAATTGAGATGTTAATGACTAGTAAATTACATAATGTGACTTTGTGAGCAACTAGTCTCTGTTCTATAGGGCAATTATAGTTTTAACCATGTAGTCTTACAGGGGCTGTGTTGCTTTTTGTTTAAATGCAATTTTCTATCTCTCAGGGCAGTGAGCTAGCGTGTTTAGTTTTACCTGGGACATCAGTCAGAAAAGGTTTACAGGCTTTTACAAAGTTAGGTTGTGGTTTTTATATTATTATGATATTTTTCTTCTTCACCTGATAAAACTACAAGTAGAAGGCCAGAGATCTAGCTCAATAACAAAAGTATAAAATCTTGAGTTCGATTCCCAGTACCCCCCCCAAAAATATAAGCAGGCCCTAACAAGTTCCTATATTTATGTTTATGTGAGGACATTTGACTCCTAACTCTTTTTTGTCTTTTTGAGACAGCGTCTCATGCAATTCAGGCTGGCTTTGAATTCACTTTGTAGCCGAGGCTGCCATTGGACTCACAGAGATCCTCCTGCCTCAGACTCCCAAGTAATGGAGTGACAGGCATGCACCACCACATCTGGCCTTAACTTAATTTTTAAAAAAAAGCAAAACGAAAATCTTTTAGTGATACCCCAGAATTTATAATTTATTGTCCCTTACACAGTTGCCCCCCAAAACAAAAGAAATAAAGACAAAAACTATGTTGAAAAATACCTGAGCCCCTACCCCTTAAAAATGGTGTCTTTCTATGTAAGGTGCGGAGGTGCTGACTGCACAGTTGGTACAGAAAACCAAACTGAATAGGAAAAACCAAGACGTTCCTGTTTCTAAAGAGGTTCCTGTGGCAACAAATGCTAAAACATCCAGGAGACGAGAGAAATCGCCAGTCAAAACTGTTCGAGGGGCTAAGTCATCTATGAAGAAATCTTCACAAAAAAAGAGAGTAAATACAATAAAGAGCAGTAAGAATCCCAGAATCAAAAAGCAGCTGCACGCTGGTAAGAAACACTCTTCCTGTCAATGTAAACACTAGCATACAGATCTGATAGAGACTGAAGATATGTTTTTAAATGAGAGCAGCTGAAATGTATCAGTAATTCATTCTGTTTTCTTTCGTTCAAACCCTGCCTGACGTAAATAACTTGATTTCCTATTGTAGACAAATAGGAAAGTACAAAGACTGGGTTTTTCACCAAATACTTTTTAATTTGTATAAATTCCAAACATGAATTTTTAAAAGAGTTAATAGTATAAAAGGTTGTATTTATGACTAACTGTATGAGTAGGTAGTGTGTGGCAGTATTTTTCTGAATCATAATTAGTTATAAAAAGTAAGAGGCTCTTAGTCTTGAGGGATTGTGAACATTGCTCAGAACTGTCACTAATCCAGAACTTTGTATTTGACTATAAAGCTATTCATTTTAGAAGTTATTTTACATTTCTGACTTTAAGAGAATAATAAAGTTTAGTGATATGAACAAAAAACTGACTACTGCTGTATCTCAGGCTTTTAGACATAGCTTCTTTTCTAAAACCTTCTGCTGTCACCTCAGACTTCACCTTTATGCAGCTGGACACACACACGACCTCTACTCCTAGGTCTGGGTCCGCTTCCCTTCTTAACTTTTCTGTGTGTGATGTGATTCTTCTTCCAGACTGTGAAGTATAAATGACACTGTATCTGTGCTGTTAAGTCCTGTTGTTGTGCATATGTTGTTTTGTTTCCCAAAATGATTTCACAGATAGTAGAGATTTAGAGAAAAACTGTTTTGTTGGTGAGGTGGAATGATGGGTGAACTTGTTTCTTAAATTCCTTTAATGTTTTATAACCAAAGATTTTCCTTAGAAGCTCATAGTGATATAGTTTTCACTTCCATATTAAATTTGCAATCTCCTACCTTCTAAGGGGAATGTATGCTTTGGTCTTACCCATGTGTCCATATTTAGCTCTTAGTATTTTCCCAACATGTTTCTTTTCATTTGGTCAGTTTGTCTGCTCCAGGTACAATATAATGTATTTTTACTGTGGTATAATTCTTTTCTGCCCGTCCAGGTTCTGTGCAGCTAGATCTGTCTCCACATAGAAGCATCTCCTTATTCCTTATTCTCTGACCTTATGCTCGTTTTCTTTTGGGTATTTGAGGACATTATAGAATTTACTTTATGCTAATTGTTTGATGTGGCTTGGTCCTCCCTTTACAGTTTATAAACATGGGAATAGATATATAGTGTATTATAGCAATGTTGTTTGAATTCTTTGTATTGAATTAGCTTTAATATTCTTTGACAAATTTATTGAGGAATTATGCCATTGGATATTGGCACAAAAGTGAGCCCAGAAAAATTAATTTTTCAAAATGCATGTTCAAAAGTAGGTTGATTGTACTATAATATCTATATATATGCAACCACATGCAAGTTAAATTTTTAAGAAACAGCCTTTTAAGTAATCTCTTGATTTTTTTTCCATTTCTCAATTACCTGTACTAATCCATTTTATTTCTTATACTTGAGATATCAGAGTTTAAAACAGCCCTCCTGTCTTGAACCACTGGTAATATGTGCATGATTGTCCTGTTGGGTGTATTGAACTATTAGTGGTGCATGCAGTACTGTCCCATGCCAACGCCTGGGATAGTCATACATGTACTGCCAATGGTACAAGCTATCTGATTCATGCATGTGTGGCCCACTAGGAACATATTAAGACAGGTGGAACATGGCCTTGCTGGCTTTAATTTGCAAAGTACTGATTAAAAGATTTTGAGTTTTGATTGTCAGAATCAAGTGAGAATTTTGGAGTCAATTTTATTTTTCTCAAACTAGTAACTTTCTATCCTTTTTAAAGTTTGAACTTTTTATTCACAAACTTTAAATTTTTATTTTAAAAAACTTAAATTTTTATTAAACATAAAAACTTTATAGAATTCATTTGGCATTGTCTTATTTATTTGACACTGTCTTAGAGTATCATTGTCATATTTTTGTTTGATTATCTGTTACAAGTCAAAAATTACTTGAGACTATACATGTTTATTAAACTACTATTCTTCTTCAATACAATATATTTCATAGTTAAATAGCTTGTAAGTTAACAGGTAAGTATATGAAAGCCCTAATGTTAACAGAGATAAAGTGAAACTAGTATCAGCAAGCATGTATCATAAAATAAATTATTTATTTCTTCTGGGCATGGTAAGGCACATATTTAATCCCAGCGCTTGGGAGGCTGAGTGAGGAAGATCTTCATTCAAGGCTATTCTGGACTGCATAGGGAATACAAGACCAGTCGTAACTACACAGCAAGATCTTGTCTCAAAATGAAAACCAAAACAAAATAGAAAATATTAACGGCTGAGAATGTACCTCAGTGGTAGAGCTTTTGCCTAGGATGCCCAAGGTTCTGGGACTGATCCCCACTATGGGATGGGCGGGTGTGTGTGTGTGTGTGTGTGTGTGTGTGTGTGACAGGGTGTATCCAGTATACCCATGGGGCAGCTGTCTCTGTTTTGAACTCCTTTTTTCCACAAATCCTTTTGGATTTTACTATTTTCAACAAAAACTAGACAGTGGTTGATTAATTTTATGCTCCTATATACCCTTTTCATTCTAATGATGGTGTAATAGACTAGTTTTCTTCTTTTCTTTAAATGTACTAGTTTTTTCTAGCAGGCTATCAATTCGTTTCAGTCTTACTACAAATAATTATTGAGAGGAGCACAGTTGAGTTTTCTGTCTATCCATTCACTTGCAACAGGGAATCATTGCCTAGTATAATTATAAACTTTATTCTTAATAATAATGGCATTTAAGAAGAATTAATAAGCCTGTCATCCCAGCACTTGGGAGGCTGAGGCAAGAGGATCACCATGAATTCAAGGCCAGTCCTTGAACTCTATTTTTTTTTTTTACCTTTTTTCAAAAAAGCAAAAAACAACAACAAAACAAAATGAGAATTAATGTAATATCCTGAAACTAGGTAAGCAAATTACTGGAGAATGTAAATTTAAACTTTTTTTTTTTTTTTAACTTTTTATTGGTACCAGGGATCGAACTCATGACCGCCTGCTTGCAAGGCAGGTGCTTATGCCGCTGAGCTAAATCCCCAGCCCCTTGGAGAATGTAAATTTAAGGCCAAACTGAAAGATTTCATTATCTACAGAAAAATTACCAAATTTACTCTTGTGGACAGAGTAAAAGGGTAATATTTTCAGTACCAAAAGAAACATTTTAAAACATAAAACGTCAACTGGTAATTCTGGATACTCAAAACTCCTAATTTTTTGTATCATTACATGTTATAATTTAAGCACAATGTATTTTTTTAAATTGCTGTTTTAAATTTAGGTGACTTTTCTTATCACTTATTAAAGGAAGTGATTTCTGAGAAAGTATGTTAGTTAACTAATTCATACATACTTCCAACTGCTACCTGCTTATGTCTTTACTAGATTGTAAACTCCCTGATAGTAGGAAACTCATTTTCCTTTGATTTTTTTCCCTCTATGTATATTTCTTCACTTAATAGTGTGCCTTACATATAGTTCAATGCATGCATTTTGAATGGTGACATCTTTTTAAAATTAGTGTATAAATCCCTTAAGATTTATTTCTACATCTGTACTTTATAATAAATACACATATCCATTAATAAAATTCTAGTATATAATCTGTGTAATATATTGAGATCTTTCTTGAATGTGTATCTGTTAATTTTCACTAAGATGTAATATGAAAGAGAATTTTATGAATAGTGTTATATCTTTTCATTTTTTTCTTTTATACTGAAGGCAAAGAAGAAACTGCTTTACAGCTTCAATCAGAAATTTCATCAGATGGTCAAAAAGATGGAATTAGTATAAATACAGCTCAACCACAAAGTACTACAGTGACTCAAAAAGATCTTCCTGAAAACTCCATTATCACCTGTGACTCCCAGGCCCTAAATATGTTAGCTGATCTAGCATTAAGCTCTGCTGCCTCTTCCACACCATTATGTGAAGCTAAAAACCTTCCCTGCTCCTCTGAATTGCCACAAAATGATGTTTCATTATCCAGAGAAGGTTCAGTGTATGGTACTTCTGACCATGAATATCATAGGGGACTTAAAAATCCAAAAGGTGTACTATTCCCTAAATCATCCTGTGATCAGAAAAGTAATTCAGAGTCAGACTTAACTGTTAGTCAGGAAGAGAACTTGGTTCCTTGTAATAAGACACCTGCTAATGCCCAGTCAATACTCCATAAGGAAACATTAGAACCTTCAGGTGCAAGCCAAATCTCTCTTATTATTGTGGAACATTCATATGCCCTGCTCCTTGGAGAACATTCAAAGAAACATCTACTGCAGAGAGGGTTACCAGGCCCTACTTTTGCCAAGAATGGAACAAAAGGCCCTGACACTGGAACTCCAGTGGGGAAAGTCATGCCATTTCGGCACTTGCAAAACCCCTCCCCTCTACAAAAGTTTTCTGAGGATTCATGGGTAAAGCGCAGAGGTCGATTTATATCTTCCAACCTGAAAAATGTATTTTGCTCCCATACTGTAGTTAGCTGTGATGGGTCCGTTAAGGTCACTTTCAAATGTGAAACAGGATATGCATTCAATTTGGATAGCAGATACTCCAACAACCCACTGGAGAAAACTGTTGTAAGAGCACTGCATGGGTAAGTAGGAGTGAAATTTGATGAAAGTGGATGTAACTTTTCTGTTGAGATTTACATTGCAAGATGGGAAACTTGTGTCATATTTTGGAGAAGTAGAAGTGTTCTGTATAAAACCAGTAATTTGGTATTAATATTAAGTAAATGTGTTTATTAACATTTGAGAATAAAAGGTTTGCCACTGACAGTGATCAGAGGACAGCTTTTTAAAGATCACTTTAGCGAGCTGGGCATGGTGGCTCACGCCTGTAATCCCAGCACTCGGGAGGCTGAGGTGGGAGGATCGTTGAGAGTTCGAGACCAGCCTGGGCTACAAAGTGAGCTCAAGGCCAGCCTCAACTGCATAGTGAGACCCCGTCTCGAAAAAGACAAAAAAAAAAAAAGATAACTTTAGCCTTACAAAAGGCTTTTCATTTTGTAATGCTCTTTTATTAACACTCATGGTCTTTGAATTGTTTTAGATGAGATCTTAATGTAAAACGGCATAGCAGTAATTATTTTATGTATTTAATTCTAAGATTGAATTCTGAGAGAAACATTTAAAAATTACTTTTATCTTATTAAATTGATCAGATTGATAGGAGAAAATGGTTTTATAGAAGGGTGTTTAAGTCTTCCATAAGAAGAAATTAAGGCTAGCCAGGCATAGTGGTGCATGCCTAAAATTCCAGTGCTTGGGATACTGAGGCAGGACAGTTGCCAAGAGTTCAAGGCTTGCTTGAACTACAAAGTTAGACCCTGTCTCAAAAAAATAGAGAAACTGAGGTTGAGTCAATAATAGCAGAATGGTTAATATCACAGGCTTTAGTATTCAGGCCACTCTAAGAAGTCTAGTCTAACGTGTAGGCTGACCCATTTTATTACCTTTTATGACCCTGGGCAAATTATGTAACTAATGAGTGCTTCTCAGTCTTTACCATGTGTGCAGCTTTTCTAGGGAACTCATTAAAACTAAACATCCTGGTGCAGTTAGTCTAAAGTAAGCTCTGAGAGTCCACCTTTCTAACAGATTCCAGTGCGATGTCAAAGGAGGATGACAGTCTGTGGGTAACCTTGTTAAGCATGGTTGTAAATGTGATGAGGCGTTTACCTGTCTTAGACTTTTTTACAGTGGCTGGCCCATCAAACCATCACTACGAGCAAGAAGTACTAGCATGATGAAATTATGGAATGATAAATAATTACCTACTGTGAACTGTTTCACATGTGACTAACGGACTTTGCAGGTCTTGCAGACTTCTTTCTTTATACATGTTCATATATCCTTAGTTTCACATGTACACTGGTAGGCTAATTATTTCCTTAGCCTTAATCCTTTCTAATTTAGTTTAATCTGCACTCATCCCACTTCAAACTGTCTACTATCCTTTTATCTGTCAGAGGCCAGAAATGCTCTGTATCTCCCATTATGGTTTCAAGATATTATTGGGACTGTAATCATAGTGTAATTCTGCTCGATTGCCTAGAGTAATATTGTACTCTTTAAGCCTTCTCCAACTATTAGAAGAGAGACACAAAAATAATGGAAAACAAGTGAGTTGGCTACAGTCAGAAGAATGAAAGTGATGAGGATTTAGGTAGTTGATGTAACAGTTATTCGCATATTAGTGTTCTGTCTGCAAAGCGTTGATAGGTATAAAAGACAAATGCTAGACTAGGAATCAATTATTCAGATCATAGTTCTCTCACGCCAGTTTTGTGATTTGAAAAAGAAGTGGTTAAGCTTAAGGGCTGGGTTAAAATAATAAATGGATGGAATGGGTTAGACTTCATAGTTATTTTTACGTCATCTTTTCTTACTCATTGTCTCCTATCTGTACTATTTAATACAAAGTGAGTACTGAAACTAGTTCATAAGTTTGTAATTATCAACTAAAACAGCCATTTTAACTTTCATGTGTTCTTTAAAATTTCAGGCCCTGGGACATTAATTTGCCTGAAAATATGGAAGAAACAAAGCTTGTGATTCATATGTGGGTAGCTCTGTTTCACAAAAATCAGAACAAAGTCATACAGTCATCCCGAAAAGTGGTAGAACACAGCAACCCAGCAAAATATGTGTCTCTAAATAGCACATTAGAATGTTTTGAACTCAACGAAATTGAGGAATCCTCCAGTGTGGAAAGGTGTTCAGTAGAGCCTCTGTTGGAGCCTAATGGAATGTCCAGAGGTCGTGCTGACGAAGTATCCTTCCATGGCCCTAATGGCTTCCTACCTTTCATTAAAGTACCATCTTCCAGAGGATTGGAACTCTGTGTACAGAATGAACAGAAGGAAATATTTGCAACAGTGTGTCATACAGAGAGCCAGAATTTTATCTATTCTTGTAATAATGAGGTATGATTGAATACTATAAATGCTAGCGTTATATTTGAAGAAATTTCGTTTTTTTAAATGTAAAATCACATTTGAAGCCCAAGACATTGTTTTATGTTGAGAAAGTGAACTCTACAGCTAGAGGATTTTCATGCCAAAAGTTTAGTTTTCATAGAAGTGTTGTTCTAATTGTCTGCAGGTACTTTACTTGCCATCCTAAATAAAAAAAAAAAAGAGGAGTAGAAAATGATCACAGGGCTCAGATGATCTGGGAGCCCACTATGGTAGCTTCATTTTTGTGGGGATTCCACACTAAGCTAATTCTTCAGCGTTTTTGTTTTTGTTTTTGTTTTGAGACAGGGTCTCACTAAGTTGAGGCTGGTTTTAAACTTACAATTAGTGTTGGTATTATAGGCTGACACCACCACATGCAGCAGAAACAGAAATGTTTTTAACAAAGAGTTAAAACATGTTCCGAACATTGTAGAGGTATGGTGAATTGTGTGGTTGCCATTTTATTATATTCTAGACAGGACTAGGCTGGATGTTTTAAATAAAACAAAAGTGTTTATCAGATTATCACATTGTCTTGAGGTATTTCTGCTAATATGTAGACTAAATTCTGCTGCTGCTATTTAAAGTTCTTTTAGTTTAATTTATGATTGCAAACTATATTAATAAATTTTCTGTTGCTTTGTGGAATGAGAGTTATTCAAATGAAAAGTATCTCAGTTTTAAAGCAGAGAAGATAGGTAAGAGTTGAGGACCTTAATTTACTCTGTCTTTTGGAAAATTTACAAATACCATCGTACTTATAATAATTGAAAACTCATGTGTTTTTAAAAATTTATTCTTGGATTTAAGTTATTTTGTAATCTTATTAACAAATTGATTGCAGTTGTGCCCCACCACACCTGGTTTCTAATCTGTTTATACTTTTACAGAAGAAAAATTGCAGGCTGGGTTTGCAGCTCAGTAGTAGAGTGCTTACTTAGCATGTGTGAGCCCCTGAGTTAATGCCTCAGAACAGAGAGCGATTTGATTCATCTCTACCCTGTGGTATTCCTACAAAGTAGAGGAGTCAGAATGAACACTGACTAAAATTGGATTTTATCTTTTCTGCTCTTACGATCTTCTTGACGCTGATATTTTTTGATTTGTTTACTTTTCTCATTTAGGTAATTGGAGAGAAAGCTAAACAAAAATCTGCAGATAAACTAGAAGCTTCTAATCTTGTGCTTTCTGTTACTGGAAATACTCAAACTAATGGACCTTTTATTTCTGATGAAGATAAAACCTTTCAGCCACTTGACAGCAAAAGAATGGTTTCTTATAATGACACTGGCACACAAGCTACATTCACCAGAACTTATGTTGAGGCCAACAGTCAGTCAGAGATGTGTGGAAAGTCTGTTTACAGCCATCTTGAAAGCAGAGCTGATATTTTACATACAAATACAAATGTTGTAAAGGACCTTATCCAGCATAGCAGCCCTATACACAATGAAGGTCAGTCCTCCTTGGAAAGAACAGATGATAATACGGACTATATGATGATTAATCTAGAACCAGTTACTTTCACTTTAGAAAAAAATGCCTGTGTACCAGTACATACAGAAGTAAATGGAGCTGAGAAACCTGTGGCCTTTAGTATCGAACCGATTAAACAAGCATCATCTGCTGTGAATGTTAGACATCCTGTATCTGCATTGGAAGAGGCACAAACTAACGGTGTTAAGGACATTCCATCTCTAGCAGTATCAGGACAGAAAAACACTAAGTACCTTTCTGCCTCTTCTGGAAAAAGAGAGACACTTGATGATAAACTGCTTTCTTTACAGAAAGAGATACCTCTTCCCATCTCATCACCATCCTCTGATAAAGCATTGATAATGGAGGAATTATCATTAGTTAAACCTTCTAGTTATCCATTACCCAGTGAAGAAATGAAACACACTCAAGATGTCTGCCTACAGACTCAAAATCTCTCAAGCATATCTTCAGAAGGGATTATAGAGCCATCACAGGTTGAAGTCTCACCATCAGCCTCTGCCTCTTTAGGAAAAAGGAATTCTTATGATTGTGTCCCACCAAAAAATAATATATCAGATAAGTCTTTAGAACTAAGGAAGAATAGCAAGAGAAATTTAAGCTGTGAAAATATGAATTTTGAATCATTTAGTTCAGTGTTTGCCATGTCAATCAATTTGCCAATGAATGGGCAGGAGGTCAGCCTGGAGTTACAAGAGGAAAATTCTGATATTGACCTAACTTTAACAATATCTCCACCTGCAAGTCCCAGAGAAAGAGTACCAGCTAATGAAACAGAGCAACTTCAGGAGTCTCCAGGGGCAAATTTAGAACTTCAGAATATAGCTAAAGAAATAGTTGAGCCAGAAGAAGTGACCCTCATAGAAAAAAGAGAAGTGATTTCAGCTAGTTCTGTGTCAGCTTATTCTACATTGTCAAAAGAACCACTAGGAAACAGGGAGAGAAAAAGTGATAGTTCACAACCAATTACTTTCATACTTTCTAAACCAAATTGTACTCTAGAGATTGGGGAGGAAATCAATGTTACGTCTGACTTTCCCTTTAATTCTTTAATTGAAGACGTATCACCAGCTTCTAGTCTTGATTCCCCAGTACCAATTGAAGAAACACAGTCATTTCAGGCTGTGTCTCCAGGTAGTTTAAAACTTTATGCTGCACAGTGTGAGAAAACTAACAAATTCTCCCAGATTGAGTCAGATGATTCTGCTGTAACAGAAAAAGAAAATTCTTTTGTTGGTCCTACCACCCATCTAGAGGGACAAGAAATTCAGCTACAGCAAATTCAGCTGTCTGCTAAAATGCCTCTGATATTAACTAGTCATCCAGCAAAAAAAGATAGACTAATATTCTCTGGTAAAACAACTGAGGAAATTGCCCCAAGTGAGCATGGTGAAGGTTTCTCTTTCTCAGAAGAGGTGCAGTACTATGACCCAGAGTTAAGCAAAGCTGCCTTAGCTGCCAATTATGGAAATAACTTCAAGCCATCTATTGAAAAACTGGTAAAATCAGGAAATCCCTTGCAGCCAGTTAGTATAGAGAATAAAAATTTGGGCTTTAAACATCTTGTTTCAGAGTCCAACGAACTCCCATTTAGTTCTACAAAGACTATTGAAAATAAGTCTTTGGCTGACACAGTTTCTAAAACTGCTGTAAGTGGCATAATGAATATACCATTAAAAGAACAGGACAGCCCTGAAAGCATAAAGGAAAACGTCTATGATAGTGACTTGAAAACAGATAGTGGCAGTTATATTCAGGTTAAGTTTATGAACTCTGTTCCTGTTGATGAAACTGATGTTACACAGATACACGTGCAACCAGAGACCCCAGAGTTTTGTTCTGCTTCAGATAGTGATATATTCACACAGTGTGCAAGACCAGAAAGTATAGAACGAGGCTTTCAGACACAGGAAATATCAGTCATCAGAATGGCTAATTTGCTTGGGAATAGTAGAACTGAAGCTGAATTACATGAAGAAGGTACAGATCTGGGTGCTGTCAACCTTCAGTCCAGCTCCGGAGCTTCTACCAAAAGCAAACAAGAATCAGTTCAGACACAGTCGGGCACATCTGTGTGTGAAAAAAAAGAGCCGTTGAGTGGTGAGATTTTGCCCATGGATGCATGTCCTTACAATAGTACTGTACACACCAATGAAAGCATCAGTGAAGAATCTTCTGCTACCTTTGTTCCAGAATCTTTTGACCATCTTGTTTATGAAGTTTCTAAAGAATGTATAGACCAAAAGAGCACTAATGAAGGGCAGAAGGATGAGGCAGATTCTAAAATCCTGGGCAAAAGTGTAGCTGTGAGTGTGAATTATGACATGCACCATGACCCATTTTCTGGAGATTCTGATGAAGACTCCCTCGATAATTTTAGAAATCCCAGATTAGATATGGAGATTTCCAGCATTTTGAAAAGTAGTTATACTGGCAAAAATGAACAAGCTGTGAAAGATGACTGTGACTCTCTCGGTAGCTTTCACAACAGTGATAATGAAGCTTGCAACTATTCTAATGAAGTTGAAGGGCTGGAGACAAGCATTCTTCCAAGAAACTGGGCCACTGGATTAAAGCAAGCAGATAAGTGCGTGCCACATTGTGTCCAAATCCAAGATCTTTACGGTATCCCCAGGATTTACACTAACTTTACTGTAACAAGAGAATTCAAAGACATGACAAGAACTTTGCATAGGGTGAGAAGGGACCCTAGTTTCACTGTAAACTGTGGCCTGCTCAGCTCCTGGACAAGCACTTGGCAGGTGGCAGATAACCTCACTCAGAACACTTTAGACCTGGAGTACCTGCGTTTTATATATAGGTTAAAACAGTTATTCAGGATGGAAGGTTCTCGACAATCTGACTCACCTCTGCAAATTTCATTGGGAGATTTCCATTTGACAGAAATGCCTAAGCCCCCAGTTCTGAGTCCTACATACAGGAACAGAAGCCCCATTCTGGTAACAGTCTTACATTCTGATACCAGAGAGCAGAGTGAGTACAGAAGTGGCCATGCACCCAGTGATGTGGATAGCTCTTCCTCATTTTGGAAGGAAAGATGTAGTCATAATAGAAATCTTGCAGATTCTCAAAGTAATCAGACTATTTCATTCCACCTCAACAAACTGAGGTACAACAGTACTTCGAAAGAATTTCGGAATGATGTTTCCCTCATTCTTAATGAATATGCCGAGTTCAATAAGGTGATGATGAACAGCAGCCATGCTGATTTCCAGGATGAAGAGTTAGACAGGACTTCTGAAGAAGCCATATCCCAAGAGATGTATCCATCTTTTCCAAGACAGACCACCTCCTATGAAGACATAATTACAGACTTGTGTGCCAGTTTGCATACCAAGCTAAATAGTGTTCTGAAAGGGACTTGTAAGAGTCCTTTCTTCTTTTATCTTGTTGAAACGGAAGACAAAACATTCTTTTCAAGAACAAAGGTAAAGTGCCAGCTTACTCTTGCATTTTATATTATCATGATTACCTTCTAATTATAATGTTTTGTTTTGAGACAGAGTCTCTAGTTCAGGCAGACCTTGAGCTCACTTTGTAGCCCAGGCTGGCCTCAAGCTTGTAATAATCCTCCTGCTTCAGCCTCCTGAGTGCTGGGATTACAAGCATGCACCACCACACCTGGCTTATAGTTTATTTTAGAAGTTACAAAAGTTTGAGCTTCAAAATAAAATGGTATGAGGTGGTATTTAAGTTTCACAGCTCAGTCTTTAACTGCATACCAATTTTTTTCTGTAAGGATCCCCATTTTTACTATGTTTGAATATTTATATGATATTCCAGAATTAGTGCAATAACTATCACAGAAATTTATTAGTATAGGCATACTTGTAATCAAGTATAAATATAAGTGTATTTCCACTACTAATATACAGATTTTTTTTTGGAAAAATGAATTGCCTGTGTTCCTGTAGCGGTACAGATCATTCGTTTTGCTAAGGATATATTATTTTGTATTTGATTATTAGAACACCTCATATTCTTGTGAGTACAGTCCTGACTTTGGAAAAGCCAGAAGGAATCACAGAAATGATTTTGGTTAGAGGTGTTTTTTAGATTTGTATCCTGTACAACGGAATCATATAAATCAATATAAAGAATCTTATTTTGATGTGCCATTAGCTTTTTTATTTTATCTTCTCAGAGTTTACTAGATTCCTGTATTTGAAGGGCAACACAAATCTGTATAAATCTATATAATCAAAAGGGCAATATGTATTTGAAGAACACCACAAACCTATATAAATCTATATAACCAAGAGGAATGTACAGGATACAAATCTATATAACCACAGTGCAACCATAAATATCAGGAAGTTAATATTAATCCAATAAGATAAAATTTCACAAATTTCACTATGGTCATGTCTTCAATCTGAAATAGTTTCTTTCCCACCACTTTTCTGATGATGACAGTTTTAAAGACTGTAAGGCTGGTTATTTTATAGAACTTTCCTTAGTTAGTGCTGATATGCTATTTCCTTATTATTTGTACATTTTAGATGAGAGGTGATACTCTGGTCACTTGGAACCTTTTATTATGAGGCACCTGATGTCTATTCGTCCCCTTAGTGATGTGTTGATATTTACTTGGTTAAGATCATCTGTCAGGTTCCCAGTGTAAAGTTTATTTAATAAATATGTTTTTAGTTCATAGTAATTAACAAGTGAAATTCTTGAGACTAGGTAATAATACAGTTCTTCAGAATTTTACCCACCTGATTTAACATCTGTTGATGATTCTGATCTGAATCAGTTACTATGATTGTTGATTGAGATGTGGTAGTATTTTAATTCTATCATTTTACATTTGTTAATTGGCATTTTATCACAGGGTAGACTTTGTCCACTCTCATTCATTCATTCATTTGCTTACTTTTATTAGTGTGGACCATGGTCTGTGTTACACTCAAAGAATTGCTATCTGTTCTTCCTTTTTTTAACCCTGAAATTGTCCCAGACCCAGCCAATGAGAGTGACATTGAGCTGGCTTTTGTGTCCTTTTGATGTCTCCATAATTCTTTAAGTACTTTCTTACTTTGTAGTGCAACACAGTGTTCCAGGCTTCTCTTGTATTTTTCTTGCCCAAGCATTGGAGTTAGCCATTTCTGCAAGGAACTATGAGTCTTTCTAGTGAGGAACAGCACGTAGACCTAAAGTCTGGAGAATGGGTTAACCCTTCTCCAGATGCCACTTAAGTGTCACTATTACTAGTTCCTCTCAGCACAGAGAGCCATGATACATGACATAGTATATATTGCTAGCCTTCCTTTTCATGGATGAAACTTTTTTCTATAAGAAAGATGAATCCTCTTGTCCTGATTATGTTGACTTCTTCCACTTCTACATCCCCATATGTAATCAGTGCCTGAGGCCCTCGCCTAAAGATGGGCCCCAAGCATGCCAGCTGCTCTGTCTGCCAACCCTGGCAGCTGACAGTATCTTTTGGACAATAGCACTTTTGTCCATTGACTGGGTAGGAAAAAAATACTGCCATTTTGTTTTGATGCTCCTTATAGTCTAATGGAACAAAACAAAACAAAACAAAAAAAACACTGATAAAGGAATCATACAAATCAATGTAAAGCTCTTGTGAGTATTGTGCTGCTGGCATTCTGCCATGTTTTGAGGTGATTAGCCTGGTTCAGGAGGTCATTCGATCTAAGGAAATGATGCAGAGCTAGTCATGAGGTGCACTGGTCTAAATGCCTCACTAGTTCTATCCCATATGTCACCATGTCAGCACCTCTGGTGACAGTAACTACAAAGGATATGCTGCATGGTAAGTCCTTGCAGGTAGACTTGCTGTGGGATTTTGCTTAACTCCCACTTGGCACACTGTCAAGAGCAAAAAGTTTCTAAGAGCTCAAAAACATTGTTAGTAATTATTCTGTCCTGGAGAGTCCTGAAACATCATAAATTGGTGGTGGAATGGTAGGCCTGCCTGTTTATAAGAAAAATGAGTCAGATCTTCAAGGTTCATTAGTACTATTGAAATTAAAGTACACAACCCAGAACATCCCAGGATTTGATGAAAAATTATTCATTCTAATGGTTTATTAGTAAAACAAGTGATGGCTGAAGATTTATATTAAGATATTTCATTGGACTCTTTGTCAGAGAAATTTTGTACAAATTTCTTGAAAATCATGGGATCCATTTTGATAATCAGATAACTAAAACTTGTTTGACATCATATTGTCTCACTAGGATGACAAGCTGAAAGAAACTGTGTGTGTGTGTGTGTCTGTGTGTGTGTATGCATATATACAAGATAGTTAAGATAGTTATGCTATTGATTTCTCTGAGTTCATTGAAAAGTTTGTGCTGGTATTGTTCGCACATTTGAATACAGATGTCTTGTGCTCTGGGTGACTGATTTGGGGATGGTAATATGCAGTGTGTATACCACTGTTGCCCCCTGATTGCTGTGTTTTGATTTTTTTTTCTTTTTGAAATAAAATGGATTTGAAAAAACTATTTTGTTGAAGATCCTAGGCAAATGGGTCATAGTAATATTTTTTTCATACCTGAAATAAACGATGGTTGGACTGTGTTTTGGGTATAGTTGAGGCTATGGAAACCAAGAATCCTTGAGATAGAAACAGCACAAAGTCACACAGGAAGGCGCAGTTGAGTTAATGCATGGATTACACAATTAAATATTCCTGGGAAAGCTTCATGTTGGAGAGCTGTTTGGGGTAATAGGAGTGAACTATCACAGCAGTCCTTTGTAACCACATGCAGTTTCAACTATATCACCTATCTTACCAAAGAACTGTTGATTTTCTAAAACCAGTCCTCATTAGTGATAAAGAAATGCATAAGTATTTTTTAAAGTTCTGGAAATGTTATGACTAAAGGTTTCATGCTTTGTTTTTTGTTTTGTTTTGCTTTTTGAGACAGGGTCTTGCTTTGTAGTATAGCTTAGCCTTGTACTCAATGATGTAGCCCAGGCTGGCCTCAATAGAAGTATTTTAAATGTAAATATATAGTATCCCTGAAGATACTTGAAGAAAGATTAGCTTTGTTTTAAGAATCAGCTTTTGATATTTTATAAACTTTCAAGATATACATTACTTTTGAAATAAACTTCTGAATCCAGTTAATTGTAATTGAGAATCATTTTTAATGTATAAAACTATGTATGTATGTATGTATACTATTTATGTTGCCTTGTTAGGATATTATTTAGTGAATAGGATATGCTTTTTTGATGCATTACTTTTAATAAACTATAAGTACAGTATCTTCCTGTTGGTAATGACCGCTTATAAATCTTTCAGAACATTCTGAGGAAAGGAGGCCATACAGAAATTGAACCTCAGCATTTCTGTCAGGCTTTTCACAGAATGGATGATACTCTAGTAGTCATCATCAGAAATGAAGACATATCTTCACATTTGCATCAGGTAAGTTTGCAGATATTCTTCTTACAAAGATGCATGTTTCAGGCACTGAAGTTGTTCTGCAGTATCAAATCTGTCCCCTGCCTCTCTGTGTAGGGAAGGAGCTTGCACGCATGGCAAATATATGAGGCCATTGCACCGTCAGATATGCTCATATTAACTGACAGAACTATCCAAAGAGATTAGAGATTACTAAATTTTCTCACTTGCAGTGAATCACTCCCTGTGTAACAATAAGAAATAGTGTTTTAAAATGTTGGACTTGTGAGAGGTAGGCATGGTGGCAAACACCAATTCCAGCAATCTGGGAGACTGAGCAGGAGGGTCACAAATCATCAAGCTGCCTAGGCAACCTAGTGACACAGAGATACTCTGTCTCAAACTAAAAAATAAAGACTGGGGTTGTAGCTTAGTGCAAAAGCTCCACACACAAAGGGCATATGAAATTCTCTTAGTAATTGATAAAATAATTGCTTATCCCAAGAAGATCCAGCTTATGGATATGGGCTAGGTACATTATTTTGTTGCTGTTGCCAGGCTATGACATGAGTCTGGAGGAGAAGTGATGCTGTTTGTGTCCTGGATGGTTTCCTTATAGGAGCCCAAAACTTCAGATGCATTCTTCCCTCATAAATCATTATTTCTCGCCTCTGGGAATTTTCAAAAAATTAATTTTGACATTTGTAACCACAGATGATGAACTGAGAAATATTCTATGCCTGGCCAAGATACCAGGTAGTAGCTTAGGTTAAAGGCATGTTTAGCTGTTCTAAAGCTTCGTAATCCATCAATAAATGCACATGACTTCATGGGGTCCCTTTATGTCTAACAGATTCCTTCTCTGCTGAGGCTGAAGCGCCTCCCTGGTGTCATCTTTGCCGGAGTAGACAACCCTGAAGATGTTCTGAGTGACACACATCAAGAGCTGTTTTGCACAGGGGGCTTTGTGGTATCAGATGACAAAATATTAGAAACTATAACATTAGGTTGGTCTTTCATTTTCTATTCTTATTTCATTGCAATCTTGTGAGGTCAATTTCTTCTGATCATGTGATCCCACTATATTTGATTAAAAAAAAAACCATTTCTAAAGAATACAAGCTACTACACATTGAAGACTTTGTGTCTGTCAGCTGCTGTACTAAGCACTTTTTTTCTCATAATAGTGGTCTCTTAACCTCTTTTAACTGATTATCTTACCTTCATCACCAAACCTGCTTCTATTCTTTCCATCTCAGTATGGCTGCACAGATTTGAAGGAGAGATTTTCATATTTAACTCAATTCACTTGCCAAACCAAGTCAGCCACATCCTACATTTTTTGCTTAGAATTAGCTGTTTAGGGGCAGGGATGTAGCTTAGCTGCACAACACCTGCCTGGCAAGCTCAAGGCCCTGTGTTCAATTCCTGTACCAAAAAAAAAAAAAAAAAAAAAAAAAGAATTAGCTGTTCTCCATTTTTAATGGCATTGTCCTTGCCATCTTGTTGATATAGACATCTAAAAAAATTATTACCAACAGTCAGTGTTTAATCATCTTGAACACTCACATAGAATTTGCTTCTTTAGGTACAAGCGTTTTTATGTATAATACAAATATGCCCTAACTCTGATCACATTAGAACTCAGTGTGGAAGGCATTTTGGATCAGAAGAATGATCTACCTTAACCTTCATGAATTTTCCTTGGAAACTGGAATTAAAAGTATTTATAGATTTTACATTTAGAAGCCGTAACTACCTTTTCTACACTGTCCTGGACTCCATTTCTGTTCGATCACACATCACACAGCCTATGCAGTCAGCACTTTAACTACTGGTAACCACCACACCGTTATCCCTACAGTTTTCTGACCATAGTGTGAGCAGGTAGGACTGAGTTGAGGGGCCACAGGTTGTGCCTTTGTAAGAGTTTCTGCTACCCAGTCACATCTAAGCGGCAGTGATGGTAATATGCTCAACAATGGAACTTATTTTTTACAAACTATTATTGGACTTTGCATCAGCCAACAAAAACTCTAAAGCATCTCTTAATAAATTTAATTCTATAGCTCAGCTGAAGGAAATTGTCAAAATCCTGGAAAAACTAAATAGAAATGGAAGATGGAAGTGGTTGCTTCACTACAGAGAAAATAAAAAACTAAAGGAAAATGTAAGGTAAGAACTTTGTGTGGGGGTATGGATTGAAATTGTCCTCATGCTTTACATGCATTAGGCTAATTTCACTGCAAGTGCTACAGGCAGATGAACGATGCTGGAATGGAAGTCACCTTCATCACTAAATAGGTCTCCTGGTTAAATTTTGTGTTTTCTTCTTGTACCAATGCATCCAAGAAGGAAACTATAACAATAACTGAGCCAAGCACTTCTCTGTAATAATAGGAATCAGTCAAACTTCGGAATTATAAAACATTCATATACTTAAGTTTCAGGATATACCAATGAATTATAAAAAAAAATATTGAACTACAAGACTGAAAGTAGTAGGAGGTTTTAATATTTATATATAAATTGGTTAAAAGAGTGGAAAAAGCTAGAATCTGGCCTTAATTCAGTTTTACCCTTAAATAAGAGACTACAAATAGACAAACTTCTTTACATCTAAAGGAGTGATTTTTGTGTGTGTGAACTTGTGAAAAGTATTTATTAGGTAACATTCAGTTCTTAACACCTGTAAGCCCTACTGTAAGAGTAATCTTTAAGGAGTGGTTTTTAAAAGAAAATTTTGATTCTTTGACTAAGGAGAACTAGGGCTGGTAGGGGTTCTTTCCTAATCAAAGGAATACCTCCAAGTTTTCCCTGGCCAGAAAGAAGACTGGGAAAGGAGCCTGGGCTCATTGGCAGTCTTGAAAAGGTTATAGATTAGACAAGCCATTAACTGGTGAAAACGTCAGGCACTGATATTTTACATTGGCCATCTCACCCGACTTTGTCCCCAGGTGGTAGATACTGAGTTCTCCTTTCATAATACGGAAGTTGAAGCACCTAGAAAACAATAAACGTGACTATGCTCAAACAAGTAATTTTGAATCTGGTCCTCAAGCCCAAAATGTTTACCTCTAAAGACAGTTATTTACCCATTTACCACATTACTTTCTCCAACAATCTGGAAGCAAATATAGCTAAAATCTTAAGATAATGTATGATTGTCCTTTAAAGGAACAAAGGAGGGCAGATACACACCTGTAATCTCAGCAACTCAGAAGGATGAGGCAGGATGGCCAAAGGGCTAGCTGGAGCAACTTAGCAAGACCCTGTCTCGAAAACCCTTTCTAAAAGGGGTTAAAGGGGCTGGGGATTTAGCTCAGCGGCATAAGCACCTGCCTTGCAAGCAGGTGGTCGTGAGTTCGATTCCTGGTACCGATAAAAAGTTAAAAAAAAAAAAAAAAAAAAAAAGAGCAAACAAAGGGGTTAAAAATGTGACTCAGTGGTAAAGAACAAAATTTCAGGAAAAGCTTTCCCTTGCAGGGTAGTTAACAGAGAAAAGACAGCACAGTTTTCACTGGTAGGAAGGTAAGAGTAGAGGGTGTAAATGCTTAAGCAGGCCAGAGAGTGTGACCAGAAATTCAGAAGACCAGGCTGTGTGTGATAGTGCATGCCTGTGATCCCAGCACTTGGGAGGCTGAGGCAGGAAGACTGCCATGAGTTTGAGGCCAGCGTGGGCTACATAAGAGACCCTATCTGCAAGAGAAAAAAAAAATCTTGTTAACCAGCACTTTAGGAAAAATTTCAGTTTCAGTTATAACTAGAGAAGTACAGCCATCACTCTAGGAAGCTGAGGCAAAAATACCATAAATCCCAACCGAGTCTTAACAGCTTAGTGATTTAATGAGAACCTGTTTTTAAAAAGGACTAGGGACATAGCTCAATGCAAAGGGTTTGGGTTCAGTTTTCCAGTACTACTAAAATAAAGACTAGAGAACTGCATTAAACCTCTGAGATACCATAGCAATTATAAATTGGTAAATATAAACTGCATTACAATTCAGGGTGCATTTCCCTACAAAGGAAGAAAAAGTACTGACAGGATTTTGAGGGAGGAGAGGAACTAAGAAAATTATGGCTGGTGCCTAAGTTTAATGAGGTTGGTGTTTATCTGATTATAGGACCCAAGTGTAGATATTTGTTTTTGAGAGAGGATCTCACTGTGTTGTTCAGGCTGGCCTTGAGTTCATTGATGTAGCCCAGGATGCCCTTGAACTCATAGTGATTCTCTTGCCTTAGCCTTCCAAGTGCTGGGATTACTGTATGCATTACCCCACCTGGCTGTATAGATGTCTCTAAGAAATCTATTATTACTAAACAAATACTTGATGCAAAAATAAAAGTCTAAGACTTGCCAAGCCACATGGTTTGAAGTGACAGTAGGTAAATGTGTCATACTTCTTTGCTTTGGAATGAGTATCAGTATTGACAGCACAGTGACACTAAGGAGGCCAGGTGTTTCATGAAAAATATTACGAAGAAAAGAGTAGGTCTTTTATAAATTTGAGTGTTTCGATACAAACTTAAAAGTCAAGAAAAAGTCGCTTGAAATAAGACGTGAAAATTAAGATGTAGTAAGAAATACATAAATGGGTCAGAGTTACACTGAATTTGAGTCTGGGTCCTTAATATTCCTATTTTTCCACAGAATGGATTCAGTTGCTCATAAAAAGAACTTAATACTGAGATCATATCAGAGTGCAAATATCATTGAATTGCTTCCGTATCACCATTGTGACTCTCGGTCACAAACAAAAGCAGAAGTTTTGAAATGTTTGATAAACCTACAGATTCAGCATGTTGATGCCAGATTTGCTGTCTTCCTAACAGGTAAATTCACAACTGAGTTTTGTCTAAATTTCAGTGCTCTAGAAGTGTCCTTCAGAGTAGTCACTGAATTCCTAAAACCCCACAGCTGGCAACCAGAAACAAACTTAACAGGCTGTGTTTTGACAAATGCACACAAAACCGGAGGGGACTGGCCAGCTATATGTAGTTACTAGTTAACAGTGGCGGTTACTTGTGTATTTAATAGTGCTGTAAGAAGTTTCATCAGCTCTTATAAGTACTTTCTTATTTTTCATGTTTTCTGTTAATCTTAACCAGGCTTTTTAAAAAGTTTACCTAAACTACAAGAGTGGTCAGTTTCTTCCACCATGACTATGGATGCAGCAGCTCCCAAGTCGTTTGAGCCACAGGTTTTCTTCTCTTCCTCACCTTACACATTAATGAAGAGCTCTAGATAAGATTTTTTTCCTTAAGGAATACTGTTACTTTAGAAAACATGTGAATAACATTTTGCAAACCAAAAAAAATTTTCCTTACAGATAACTATATCTCCAGTGAAGTCTTTGGAAATAATGGAATCCTTGCTACAGATACAAATCACTTCATTGAGAATATACAACAAGTAGCAGCTCCATTTAGAAGCAGCTATTGGTAAGAACACTTCTTGTGTTACTCCCATTCAGTGGGAGCTGTTGGCACCACTTAGGTGTATCTGTGGCAAACAGTTGTTCAACAACTGCTGTTCACAATATGCATCATGCTATATATTTTATCCTCTTTTAGGCACAGAAATACTGTTAGCTTCTTTAATTATTACTAATGAAATTATCAGTAGTAATTCAAAGTAGGTTGCTTTTTAACCTGGCTTGCCAGGACAGTATGACCTTAATACTATGCATGAAAGTTTGCCCCATTAGATATAGAATCCTATTGTAAAACGTTTATTCATTTTGTCTTCCCAATTTTGTGTTTATACAGGTAATTTAGCTGCAGCTTATCTACACAGGGAGGATACCACCAACAGTATTTTCCTCCTTTCTATTAAAAAAAAAGATGCAAACAGCTTCCTCGTATTTGAAAACTCAATGTTCTACGACTCGGAAATTTTTCCTCCACTTTTTAGATTTTGCTAGAATGTCTAACTTTATAGTGGCAGTTAATTGCCATTAGACTTGGGCTGCAGTGTTGAATACGATTCATTTTTATTTGAAACATCATGAATTCAAAGCTATAAACTGAACAAGAATTTGGTAACATGTAGTCAGAACACAAATAAGTATTTTAATAAGTAGCTTTGTTTTTGCATGTTAATATCAAAAAAGCCTGTGAAATGCATGTTGTATGGTATTTTCAGTTTTACCACTTGTAAAGAACTGTAATTTTTAAAAAATGGTTTTATTTGCTGTTAAACAAGCAACACTACACTCTTTTGTAAACAATACGCATTTATAAACTTTTCCACTTAGTTCTTAATACTACACTAAAATCAACCATTCAAAAATAATCTTTTATTTATGATATTGGAATTTCTACGGTAATCTTTAAAACAAAACCATTTATAAACGATGCATAGTATCTATTTGGAGCAGCAGTTTTTTATAACTGATTTGTTGTTGTTTTTTAATAAAGACAACTAAAAATAGTTTTCTCCAGTGATTTTTAGAGCAAAACTCAAACTGTATGAAATGTCTTAGCAATTTTAGGATGAACTAGTTTCCAGGACTCCTGTCATACAGTGCCCTTTGGCATGGCTTCTGTTGATCTAGCTACCACTGACTTGCATCATATGCCTCCAGTGTTCTTTCCCTTTCAAATTCAGAGTAGCCAGCAACAGACGAAATTTCAAGTACCCTTTCTACAAGGGTATGCAGCCATATAACTGTTTTCTGTTATTCTTATCCTGCTTAACAGAAGTGCCAGTTTTACTGTACTTGTCAAGAGAAGGACCACTGACTGACACATTTCACTAACATTATTTTCCCTAAAATAAGGATAAGAAAGGGGACTATCACTGTGTCTGATAAATTCCTTTGAGATATTACTAAGAAAAACATAAGCACCTACTGCCTATCTCTGTCTGCCTGATGCTTAGTTATACCTCAAATGTTTACCCGAAGACTATTTATTCTTTCCCATTTCCACACAGCTTTTTTAATGAATCAGCCTGTGTCCACTGTAAACTTCCTCAGAGAATTGCACCTTCATCATCTTTGAGCTCCTCAGGGATGGCACATGAAGTCTGTTAAGTATGCTGAGGAATATGAAAATGTATCTTTTTTGCTTTTCACTTATTAATTCCATTGCCGGCATTAAAGTTCACAATTAGAATTATTATAGGAATTAAAGGAACTTTCAATATTCTCATGTAGATAAAGCAGTGTTTGTCATCTGGTACCTAGGCATTCTGGGTTGTCACTATAGAGAGACGCTGTTGGTTTGTGCAGTGCACCAGAGAGCTCCACAACAAAGGATGTGCCTCAAAACGTCTCTACTGGAAGCTGAGGAACTGAGTTAGACTATCAGAATAACAAACTAAATTATCATCACCCTACTCTAGATCTTCTGCTTCACCTTCATACTTAATATATTTTAAAATGGTAAACAGTTACATATAGGCTTAGCACTATCAAGGAGAAACACAGTACCAGCAAAAACCTAGTTTATCATTTAAAGCACTTAGTTACTGAGGTTTCAGGTTACTGCACCTGAAAAGTTCATTTATAATCACTGCTATAAACAGCATTTATTCATGGCAATAACTTATTTTTATGCAAGACTTATTTGCTGTACGCCACTGCTGAGATTACCAAATACAGGCCAAACATGATGGCACACACCTATAATCCTAGCACTTTGGGTGGCTCGGGCAAGAGGGGCAACCTCAAGCCTAGTCTGGTCAATTTAGCAAGTCCCCGTCTCAAAACAGAAAACTACTTGAGATACTCAGTGTGAAGGCTGAGTTGAATTCACAATACCACACACACTTAACCAACAAGTGTCTTAGCATTCATGTTCTGTCAAGAATAAAATGTGGGTCTTCTCACAGTGACATTGGAGGGCAGGGACCAACTGCTCTGCCACATCCAAATCTGAAGCTGTACACACTCCCGGGTCTTGTGTGTATCGGGCTCTGGCGTCACAGCTCTCCAATGCAATGCACAACAACTGTGCTGTGGCCCTCATGATACAAACAGAACCGTACATAGCAGTGGTTTCCAGAGTTTGGCTTTATTTTGCAGTACAGAAATCATGTGGAGCCATTTTAGACAGACATCATTGAAGTAGAGGCTCTGTCAAATCAATACTGCATTGCAGCTTGGTCCATTGAAGAAGCCGCACCTGGGATACAAAAGATGGTTCTACATTTTACCTGCTTTATAGATAAGTTCCTTTCCCCTTCTCTCAGTTTTCCTAAGTTAAAGCAATACATCCTGGCTTGCTCTAAACACTCCCTGTAGTGTGGAATTTGGTTAGAAGTCTGTCCACATGAACCAAACTTGTGGCTGTACTATTTGGGCCCTGCCCATAATCATTTGATGTAACACAAAATACATACAGGGAAAACTTACAAGATGCTGTCCCAAAGAAAGGAATATTCAATTTAGAATCTCCTTAATGTCAAGATGGCACACATTGTATGGATCCATCTCTTGAGCAGCAGAAGCATAAAACTGCAAAGTCTACACTGATTAAAAGATACAAATACTGTATCAAGTTCTCTGTATTGGTAACACAACCTTTTTAAAACTTACTTCACTAGACAAAAGCCAGCTTGGTTAAATTGAACAAAATGGTAACCAGTCAATCTGAATAGCCATTCCATGAAAAGTTAATATGCAAGATTAGAAAGATGAAGGGGAGTATTCACTGGTACAGCGCTCTTCAATCTCCATTGTGATTACAAAAGCAGGCCTTACAATACTGATTTCATACAATATGTATTATTTGCCAAATTTTAAATTTGTCCTAATTAGATATTAACATTTACTGTTGTTAGTCTTCCCCATAGATGTCATTTTTCTTGCGCTTCATTTCCTCAAAGTCAAACTCAGATCCTGTCATCCTTTTATAGATGTCTTTAATGTCATCACAGGTTGTCTCAAAGTGAGTTGTAGCATCATATGCACGGGAAATAAAGATCTAGGAATAAAGAAAGCAAAACTTAAAAGACTATTTAGAAATATTTCTTTATAAAGCACAATACTGTTCTTTTGGAATCACCATACTCACCTGGCTGTCTGTTCCCAAATCTTTTGGTACAAGGAGGTCACTGATGCTAACAAATCTATAGGGGAAAAAAGAATTATATTGGCAGGTTAGTTGGCCCCATGGCCAGTCACTGCTTTGCCTGAAGTTCTACAATCCAAAGCTAAGACTAGTACCAGTAGTGTTATGGTTTAGATCAGGAACTCTCATGTGTTCACTCAGGGGTAGGGCTTTTGAAAGTGACTGGATCATGGATGTGCAACAGCTGATTTGCTAATAAAGGTGGATCACTACAGGTGTAACATGGAAAGGCCTATCTTCCTCTATTTTCTAAAGGTCACTTGAACACTTTCCTCCACTAGGCCCTTCCAGCATGCCATTCAGGCCTTGAAGCCAGCTGACTATGGATGGAAACCCATAAAACCCATGAGTGCAAATAAACCTCTCTACCTTTTAAGTTGCAGATGTCAGGAACTGTGTCCCAGCAATGAGAAAACTGACTAAAACAAGTAGAGGTGAGACACTACAAGGACATCCACACAGCAGACACCAACCAGCTTCCTGGTTCTCCTATGCACGCCCCCCGCCAAGGCCACAATCAAGACTTGAGTTTGTACTTTAATTGACATACAACACTCACTTCTGTTCAATTGGTTCCAACAGCTCCAAAGCTGGTCTGATTTCTTTCTCAGGTTCCTTGGTTTCCACAGTTGTACTAACAATGGCAATGTACTTCCCTTGTGCTGCCACATTGTGTGCAGAGGAGATCATGCAAACATAGATATCTAGAAGCAAGAAACAGCAGTTCACAGCCCAGAGTTCATAAACAAGAAAGTAGGTGCACTCACATTTCACCATATTTCATTGAGTTGCTACATGTTTCGTTGAGTTGCTAGTTATGTTACTCTAAAGTTATGTATAGAGGCAAGGGTCATAGTAAAGTATGTAAACCATTTAGTAAGTGGAATTTCTTCTCACCTATTAAGAGATTAAGAATTTATATTACTGTGAACTGAATGAAATCTCATCCCAGCTCTGTAGTAATGCACTGAAAAATCTGCCAAACCATATTAAGACTTGAATTTTCTTTTACCCTGGACTTGTATTTGGAAAGGTTTTAAACAGCAAAGAAAGGATTTATCATTAATTGATTTCTAGCTAACCATGTTGGTGTACACCTGCAATCCCAGCACTCGCGAGGCTGAGGCAAGAGGATGGTCTTGAGTTTGAGGCCAGCCAAGCCTACACAGTGAGTTAAAGGCCAGCCTGGACTACACAGTGAGACCCTATCTCCAAAAAAATATATATATACACACACACATACAGACACACATAAAATTTCCTCTTATTAAAGCAATTAAAAACTGCAGTTCAGCAAAACTATTTTTGAATTTGAATAAATTCCTGATATCAACCTGGTCTATATACAACCATTCTAAGAACATAATTTCAAATATATTAAAATAAAAATTAAAAAAAATAAAGAAAGACCTTTTTAAAAAGATATTTCACAGATCTGGGGCCTGCTTGGAACTAATGAAACATTAGGTCTGAATTCCTTTATTAATTATCACTTTTTCATGCAGATAGCTCTTACTTGTTTAAAGCAGATAAGCCCGTTTTAAGTTAAATTTTAAATAAAATATAGGGCTTCTAGCTAAAAGGAAGATGGGAACACAATGGTTCAAAGCTGATTAAAACACAAATTAGTTACAATTTAGGACCAAACAGGATCTGAATCAAAAAATTACTGTTTGATTTAAAATCAAAAAACTAATTTCACAAGTAATGCTACCGAAGCAACTATGTATCATTAGCTCAAAAACACAATGGAATCTGTTCATCTAGGAAACATAAATCTCTACAGTTCACCTGCTGAGGGGGCAACCGACATTAAAAGTGATGGATGTTGAGGTTCTCAAGTCTATTTAAACACAATGGTGCAGGATGCTTCTAGATGCCAGAAGGACCCATATTTTGTTTCCCACATGTAAAAACAAAAGTACTTTCAGTGTGATACTACATGTAAAGTTAGGAATTTGGAGTAAAATGAAGCAATGTAACAAAATTCCACCAACAATCTGGTCTTCAAAGCTCACCTGATTTTCGATTGACTTGGTTCTGTGGAATAATTATCTGACAGGAATTGGCATCGTTGGTATTCTTGATGGGGTGGCTGAGGATACATATAACTCTAATTACCTGCCCCACTTTTTCTACCCGATCCTTTACATAACTTGGGTCACAGATGAGCTGCTTACAACGAGCAATCTGTAGTGAAACATAAAGACTCAACACATATATATGTGGTAATACATCCCATGCTCATAGATTAAAAGTAAATAGTGTTAAATGCACCTTAAAATATACATGCAGTCATTAGGACCTTAATTCAGTAATAACCAAACAATCCTGAAAGAACAGGAAGACTCATTA